GATGGAGGATCCTCTGGATTACCCTGTCAATAAAGAAAGGTCTTCTGAGGTCTTGTACCCCACTGTACGAAGATGACCTCCCTTTTTTGTTGTTCTTCACCTCATTTAGCCTAAGTGTGCTACAGAAAGCATCAGCGCTGAACTATAGCTGAAATTAAACCCATCTTCAGCTGAGTATCTTATTGTATTGGATACAGGTTGCCGTACCTGCTTTTAATGATGTGGAGAGAACTTTGAAGTTGAGTGAAGCTGCTGGTAATTGTTCTCTGGTGCTGTGAAGACTTGTTCCTGCGCTGCCAGAATGAACACCTGGCTCTGCCTTGTTGCTATAATAACCAATGTTTAAAAAAAAGGCTGCAGCTGTGCTGTAGCTGTATTAAACCTTTATATTGATACAAAGGCTTCCAAAGGCTATGACTGTCTTTAATTGCTGAAATTGATTGGACAGTTTATTGGATGTGTCTCCTTCTTCGGCTCCCATCTGTGAAAAGACGTAATTTTCTTTTCCCACACTTCTCTACAGAGAAAATAATTACAGAACAGATTGATGAGAAAACTGAATGAATGCTATCAGTAAGCTGGGGGAGAAAATGTAATTATTTCAGGATTGGACAACTGAGTGGTCTAAGCTAACATGGGGCTGTTTAATGTTCGTAAGAAGGTGGCACGCTCAGGCAGAGTGTAGCCCACGATTCTCCATTATGACCTGCCCTTTGGTACATGCTTTATAATCTCATGTTAACCTGCTGGAGGACCGATAAGGGAATTTCACCATAATTAAAGAATAATTTGAGGTAACTTTAGGTAATGCTTATAAAGTAATGCCTTATTTTAAAGCCTGTTTCAGAAAAAAACAGGATGTAATAATTGGGCATGCACAGAAAAAGAACATTTCCTCCACAGATATCCAAATAATTCAACATATGATATTTGTTGTGTTCGTAATATACACACCAGCGCCTGCAGAAAGAGGAATAAAACCACATTTTTGGTAAAGAGATCACAGACCGGATTTGACTGCTAGAGTCTGTGAAGCTGCTTCACTTCAGAGGGGAAATATCAACAATGGGAATTCATGCCAACACACAGAGCAACAGATCTTTCTTTGTGTATTTTTGATTTCCCTACACTGCAAAACAGAAATTGTACGGACTGATGTTTGCTGGATGCACATCTTTCAACATGCTGAATGCAAACACATCCTGGTCTGGTTTTTAGCCTCGTTTTAAGGCAGAGCGGATGCACTTCAAACAACTTGTGCACGGTTTTCCAGATCGTAGCTCATCAAAGACTGAAATCCAATCAGTCGTCCTTTGAAAGCTCTCAAAGTGGTAACAACATGAACGCATTTGTCGTTTATGCTCAAGAATTTAATTGAACAAGAGGAGACTTTTCATTTTAAATTCTTGTTCTTTCAATATAAAAGGCTGACCTCCTGTTTTTATCCCTGTTTGAGTTAGGAGAGGTAGGTAATGGTATAAAATGAAGATAAATGCAGATGCGTTGTTTTTGTCACATTGAGGAGGGATCTTTCTCTGTGCTCTTCACTGATCTCATGTGACTCCTCCTCACAGGTAGGGATGAGCTGATCGCAGTGTTCACCTGCCTTTTCCAATAAGCCTGCCAGAGTCTACTCTTCTTTCACTCAAACCCCTGAGTATAGTTCCCGTCAGTCCACCGAGGCCCCTTCTTCCAGTGCATCAAAATCCCCCCAGTACATCGTCTATATCACAGCTCCTCCTCTCTCCAGCTCGCTCTCGGCCCGCAGTCACGTTCTGCTGCTTTGAACTCGAATTTCTCTCAGCCCCAGTCTCCACCACACAGCTCACCTTTTTCCATTTTCCCATTCCTGCTCTCCTCCCAATCTCTCCCCCTCCTTCACTCGAGCCCCACTCGGGGCTACATGATAACACACTTTGGAGGGAACCGCTTCGCCCCTGAGCAGACCAAACTGTGAGCATATTCACTCCATCATAACAGCGCTGTAGCAAAACTGCTGTCACGCCGAGTTTGCCATGCTAATGTGGCTCCGGGCGCTGCTACCCTGCCCTCAAAGAACTGTGATGGAGGTGCGTGGAGTGGTTTGTTTTTTTGGGGCTTGTAGGTAAAAAGAGGTAAAACTACACAGTGAATGTACAGAAAATTGTTGTAATCAAGGGCACCTTTCTTCCTATAGCTGAGAGTATTCCCAGTGAGGTACATGCTGCTGTATACATGGGGGGAAAAAAGTGAAAAACCCTCAAGTTACCTCCTCCCTCCCTCCTCTAGGTACTCTGTAAGCAGGGTGAGAGAGGAGGCTTCAAAGGGCTCGACTGACACCTGGCAAAGCTTTGAACTCTGTCCTCGGACTCTCACACAGAAAGACAAACACTCCCTTTAATCAAACTCTTACAGACATCATGTATCAAGACAGATAAACTCAGATAACATCTCAAAATATGCTCACAATCTCATGAACACACACACACACAACTCTCCGCTTCAGAGATGAGCGGCTGATGGGTGTGAAAGGAATCTAACCTTCCCTCAAATCAGCTGTAACTTCACCCTGGAAACATGATGTCATTGTCAGCCGAATCACTGCAACACCTCGAGGGGCAAGCAGCCAGTTTGCATTTCCACATTTTCCAGGTTAGAGGCCTTCATTTGTTCTCAGGCACAAGTGGGACGCATGAAAGTGATTCCTCCACGTCTGCTGTGTTCATCCTTTGATGTTCTCAAAATTCAGAGATGGCTCTGTTAGTGTCAAATGGATGCTAGCCAATCTGTTGTTTCTTGATAAAAAGGTAAAAATTTCATTTGGCTTTCTTGTTTGAAGTAGGATGAAATTATTGACCTCATGACTATGCAGTAGATTGTTGCTATCATCAGTTAATAGCTTTGCAAAAAAAAGGCAGAGAAAGTAGTGAATGGGCCGTATTTGTACCTGCTGCATTCACACATCGGGTCACTCTGATTTCTTGCAGGATTTCAAGAAAAAGCCAGAGAGAAATTGAGGTGAACAAAGGGGTCCTGCATAAAGATAAAATGCAGTTTTTATGTTTGATATTTTTTGGTAACTTTTTTTAATCATCTTTTCTAAAGTCTATGTGAGAATGTCTGGCAAAAAGTGATGAAAGTTACAGCAAGAATCGGTCCAGCCTTTACACACGTGTTAAAACCTCAAACCGACAAATTTCCTTGTCATGTTGGTAAAGAAATCTGACGGTAATGTTATGACTGATTTTGAAATTGTTACATTCTTGTACTGATGCTTCTTCATTACCGAAGCTGTAAACTTAGATTATCAGTCACAAGATTGGTTATTTCTTTATAGCTAAGTGGACCAGACTGTGTTTCAATGAAAGCACCTGTAAGGAGTATTTTTACATCAATGAAGCAGACTGGAATTTTATATTAATGCCTTTTTAGATACAAAAAGCTAACACCAACAAATTTGTATTGCCTTAAACTGGTTTGAGGGGGTAAAAAGACAAGCCTGTACATATTCCACATTCCACATAAATGTGGGTAATGGTGCTCATGGGAAATGCAGTCCTCATCCCAGAAAAACTAGAATTAACACAACATGGAAGTTCCATGCAGAAGCTTTAAACTATGGAGATGTAAAGTCTAAATGTGTGATTCTTTTACTCTAAGGCAAGTCTTATATTTTTGTTAACTTCAGATTTCAACATCAAGCCAAAAGTAAGAAAAATCTTCCTACGACATCTGAAACAGGATGAGATAAACTGATTTATTAGGATACTATCTGGCACTAAACACATTAAAAATGGACATGTTGAGTTCAACCCTTCCAAGAACTCTCAACACTATAATTCTACAAAAGCTTATATCCACTTTGGTTATAATAACCATTTCTTTATCCTCCTTTGTCTACAATATGGCTATTTCTAATTCTCTTTCCCAAGTCATTTTTATCTTCTCTGTTCCCTCAGTTAGCATAAAAAATTTAACTCATTAACACCTTCTCTTTCTGAAGCCAGACCAATTACATAGGCCTACTTTCTGACATTACAATCAGAAAAAACCTAATTGGAAAAGGGTTAACAGCATAATTATAGAATTAATTTGACATAGTTTGAACAAAGGGACCTAGTGTGACATTTTAATCTGACAGCGGTTGTCTCGTCATGTGCTATACAGACATATCTCCCAACAGTCTAGACATGGTAAATGGTGATCAAGTGAAGGACATGATCTTGAGTAAGATTTATGATGGAGATCACAAGAAGGTGACATTGGGAAGTTAAATGGGACATTAAAACGAGCTTAAAGATGAGTTTAAATGTTTAAGAGCGACAAAATGATTGGCTCACAGAGACTGTGGCTAAATTAGATTGTTCAGGTCGGGTACAGATACAAGATAAACAGGACTGGAATCAAACCAGGGCCATCCACAGGAGGATGATAGCCTCTGTACATGGAGCGTGGGCTTCAACCACTTAACCAATGGAAGCCCTGGTTTGCCTAGAGTTTTTTTCTTGGGGTATTAGTGCAGATATTTTCTCTCATATGTATTAGAATTATGATCTTCATCTGTTTTCAAATGGTAGAGCACAGTCCTAAAACTGTATTCTTACATGTAGGCCTCCCTGATCTATGTGTTGCCTGTTGCTTCCTTTTCCCTCTTACTGTATTTTGACACAGAGAGGTTTCGACTTCCCATGTGCCCTCTGTGTGTTTGCGTGATGTACAAGCAAAAAAAAACAGAAGCAGGTCAGGAGTGAAATCAACCATCAGGTTGTTGGTGTGATGGAAAAAAGCTGATTGTTAATTCATGTTGCTGATGAATTTCTTATTGGCTCTAGAGTTGGAGGCCAGGCTTAAAGGCATGGGGCATATGGGGAATGAGGAGGGGCGCAGATGCTCCTCGGGGCCAGAGGGCTGATAGGCAAACTTAAAGAGGGACACGGGGAGAGGGGAGAGCAGACACTGGGGCAAGCATGAGAGAGGGAGATTGAATATGAAGCTAAAAAGCAAAGAGGGAAGAGAGAGACATGACCGCCCTGCCTCGAAAGCCAACTCTGGTCCCACCGAGCAGAACTAACCCCCTAACTCAGCCCCTGAACGCAGCATCTGAAGTGCCAATTGACCGCAGGGGCCTTGAAAGACGCTACTTTAAGAAGTCTGCCTCTGAGCTGAAGGTCTTGTCCTACTCTGACCTCAAACAAAGTAAATAGCTTAAAGAGGGTAACTTCTGAACCCTTACAAGTGACAAGCCTGACCTACTGATAGTAAAACTGGGATATTTGACAAAAACATAAATACAACATGCATAATCATAGCAAAATTTACCCACTTTTCAGCCTGTCGAAGCAGGCCGATTCAATTCACATTCTAAAAGGACGATTATTCTAAAAAGTGCTGAGGAGCCAGTATTTTAAGTTTCCCTTTTCAACCTGTAATCTAAAATTTATAACACATCTTTATACACATAAGAAAGAAGCAAGCTGTTGTTTAAATAATGCAGCTTTAGTTCTTTATGTTCACTACCAATAAAAAAAAGCATTAAGTTAAAGCCTGCAAAAGACATTAGTGTTGCTCTACTAAATGATCAAAGCAGCAGATTGAGGCTGTTAAAGAGTCTGATTTAGCCCATAAACCACCAGTTGAATGACTCTGCTTTAAATGATCAATGCCCATAATCACACACATGCCGCAGACATGCACAAATGCACACATTAATGTACACATTCTGCAGAGCTACCCCACAGCATTGGGAGGATCTCAGCTCCATCTACTGGTGGCACCAAGAATAAGCTGCTCTATTGTTGCTGAGGGGGAAATAAACACCAACTCAGTCCCCTAAAATCATTTTCTCCACTGTCTTTGCCAAGCCTCCCTCCCTCTATTTGCACCTCCTTCAAGCCAAGAAACTAATCTGACATGATTAGTTACAGTTTGCCAGAGCTGCAGCTCGGTATCTTTTATCATCCATAAAGACCTTCTACTATACCAAAGGAGGAGGAAGGGAGTTTCAAATTAGATTTGATGCAAGATTTGATACCAGGCATTTCACATGGTGGCTGTTTGTAAAAAGATGATTGAACAAAACAAAATTCCTCCCCAAAATCTGAGAAAGAAGTGAACTTAAACCTTCAATCAGTGTATAGTTTGGTGGGCAGCAGTAACATATTGTAAAAAGAATGAGTCACACAAATGATCAACAGCTGAAAAATACATCAGTAGAATTCCTCACAATAGACTGTACATGAAACTGAACTTTAACTTTCCTTGAGGCCAAGAGATTTAGAGCTCCCTCTGCTGAGTGGCTGCAGTATAGCAGCCATATGCCCCGATTCCACCACCGTAAATGTCAGCACCTGTGGAGGCCTTTCATTTTGGCTTCACAGCTCACAACTGGCAAATATGAAGATGCATTGTCGATTTCATATACAGTCAGTGAGCCTAGCTTTGTTTGAATGCTTTCTGATCTGAACAGATGGAGTACAGTGTGATCTTCTTGTCAGGTATTGGCAGTAAGATGAGAAGCAAAAAAAAAAAAGGGTGGGTGGGGTGGGACAATTTAGATTTTGAACAGAGTAAAAGATATCGGAGAAAATTTGCAATAATTCATCTGCAATCGCACACGACTGAGTATAATTCAGGCTATATTTGAACACTACATTTATTTCTCAGCTAAACTGCAGCTACATTGATGTAAATTGCCTGGCCAGTAGTAGCCAGCCGCAGCTCTCACTTGCTCGTTGGCCTCTGCCATTCAAGGGTTTACAATGATGTCATTGGGTATCATAGCATTGAAATATACGATCATCTAGCTGTTCCTCCTCCTGCTGTGAATTGTCCTTTTTGACGGATATATTTTATGACTCAGTTTCCTGTTTTTACTCAGACATTCTCAACCTTTTCACAAATTCCTATTGTCAGGCAACAATTGTGTGTTCGGTATAGGAGACTTTTTTATTCGGTCATGGGGATGTCATATTGGCCAATCACAGTGGCTCTGATTTATTCTAGTTATGTCCCTCCTGCATCCCAGCACCCAATATTCACAAACAATGAAAATGCTGGTTGGAGAATGATAATTAAAACGAGGAATAGAGTTTGATTGATTGAAGATTTCTACTTATCATTTGATATTGTCTAAATTTTAATAAAAAGTATTTTTTTGCTTAAACTTGTGGTGTAGCAAAGGTTGCAGTATCTTGTAGGTACTGTATGCTGAGTAGGCATATCTAAGAACCTCTCTTCCTTCAACATGATCAACATGACTGTTTTTCATCTGTGATGTGAGTTTGCATGATGGGGGTCTAGAGTGTCTCAGGGTATGCTCATAGTTGTAAAATGTTTGTTCGTTTAACAATTAAATATTCATAATAATTAGATCTATTTGAATTATATCTGGATTGCTGTTTCATCTGGTCACCTTCCTTCTGAGAGAACTTAAGACAAACTAACAAATGTAGAAAGCAGTGAGAAAGGTGCTGGCGAACTATTTTATTTATACACAACACTTGATTTGAATACGATGAAATTTCATGTAACATTTGTCTAAATATATAATGTGAATAAAACTTTTATACCTAACCTTTTCTGTGAACATAATGTCTGCTTGAACACATCAGCTAGACTTTTAACATCAGTGGTGGTTGTTAAATAATGTGGATAACAACTCCCTCGATCACCAGCTCCTCTGTGACAAGCACAAATGACGTTGCGGACCTCTCGGGTTGCACTACAGCATCCTAATTTAACTATCAAGTAGTCAAGTCTAGTCTTAAACTTCATGCATTTCAAAAGCATCTTTTGCGTTGTGTGATGTTCTGTCTAATACAAAATCTAAACTTCAGCGACCACCACAGACTTGACATAATTTCTTCAGCTTCTCATTATACTCACTTCTAAAAAAAAATCAACTCTTCTGGACCCTGCACCAATTTTCATTCTTAGATTAAAAATAAATTCAGCTTGAAAGATGACCCAGATGACATCCCTGCAGTTCAACTTCGATCAGAGCTCGGAAAGCTTCCTCTGAAGCCAGGGCAGACTCTAAACAGTTTTATTTTATGGGGCGCAGTAAATTCTATGACGAGTAAAGTGAATTTTATGTCCAAATGTGTAAAAACCTCTTCGCTATAATCACCAATGCCCATAAAGATCTGTGTTTTCTAGGGTATCATTCTAGTTTCCTATCCAAATTTCTGGGTGTTGCGTTTATCTAAAAAAGTGTATATGTTTGTGGCCTTGTTTCTTCATTCATATGACTTGGTGGTGTTGGCGTCTTTAAACTGCTGTGAGGATATATTAGCTGGAATCGGAAACTGATGACTCTATATGGCCTAAAAGACTAATTGTTTTATACATGTATTGGCATTGACATTGTAACCACTGCCACCTTTGACTACATTCTTCTTAATATCAGAGATTTGATTGGTGAAGTTTGTAACAATCAAGTACAGCACAGTGAGTTTCTTCTTCAGAAAACAAAATTAAGTGTATACAGGGGAGTATCAGCCTAGATAGAAGATGAACCACTTTGTTTGAGTAACCTAAATTACCACAAAATGAAAGTTCCCCACGGTAGCTTAAGGTACAAGTTATAAAAAGAGATATTTAAATGCCATCTGAGGCAGTATTAAGCATTTACTTAGATGTGGAAGATTAACATTGTTGGAGCAACTCAGACGACAGAATATTGCAGAATTGCAGTGTGAGGCTTGAAGCTGGTATCGCAGTTATTTTGACAATGTCATACATTACAATAGGATACAGTATGAAAATGATCCAGCTGGTAGGTCAAGTGCCCTCTTGGGTAAATCTCTCTTGGACTCAAGCGTAGCACATTTTAACCTCCTTCACAGTTGTACTGATACGTAAAAACACAACAAACTAACAACAATCTGCATGCAAACAGAGTAACACATACTTAAGAAAACCACAAACAGCACACACTGCACAATACCCATATTACATGAGAACTGCACAAATCTGATAAGAATAAGAATAACTTTTTAACTGATATGAACAAGTACATCATGAAGTTATTGCCAAAGCTTTATAAGAAACACAGTTAAAAATGTTATTTATTTGGACACAAATTAGTTAAGGTCTCATTTAGGGAACCCGTGTCTTTTGCCTAAATGTGAGAGGTATGAATGTAGAACTGTGTTTAGCTGGTCACAACTGGCAACAAGTTTATGCTTTTCTTGTAACCCCCAAAAGCCAAGAAGGAGAATAATTCAAATAAATTGTACAACTTGTAAATGCTCCTTCTTAAAGCAAGAGCTCGTGGGAAACTTCATGAGATTACATTTCTCATTGTTGTGGAAGGATATTTCCTGGCACTCATCATCTAAATGCACAGGTTTCAGATAACATTCACAGAATATTTACACAGGTAGATAACTGTCTCTGTGAATCAGCATATAAAGTTATGAGTCTGTAAATGTTCTCCCATCATGGTACAATTACAGACAAATACATCACTTTGTTATCAATGGACACTGCTGCTCATGAAGTGATTATACTAAAAGAAATAAGCTACAAGAACCTGCAAAGAACAGTGACAAGACAAATCCTCCTCTTTTTAGAAACCCAAACACGGTCCCTCACAGCCTCTATCTGTACCTGGATCAGAAAATGAATTGCTGCCGTCTGTATAAAGGATTCCCTCCATTCTCATACTGTCCTTCACCAAGCAACGCACTAGTAGTCATTTTCTGACATGAAGGATCTACAGCACAACAAGCTAACAAGTCCTTCCCAGTATTTTTATTTTTGGTCAAGGAAGTTGGGTAATTTGAGCACATTTGAGAGTCAGTATTTTGCTTTCCTGATGAGTGGAACATGATGTCCTGATGGAGCAGTGATTTGCTTGATAACATCACACATGCAGTTACAGAGAGCGTCTGTGAAGGGCTAATAGCTTCTCCAAGGATGGGATCCAAGCTCATTTGCACCATGCAAATCCCCCTTTTTTGGAGAGAGCACTTCCAAGACAACCACAATGATTTTCAGTGTGCATTTGTGGTAACGATATAGGTTAGATAGCTTTCAGAAAAAGAGCATGTGTGCAAAGGAAGACAGAAAATAAAAACAAAAAAAGAAGGAAAGGGAAAAAGATGTTATTCAATATTACTTATCTCTTTGAGATCCGCACTGTGACGTTCTGTACCAGGCTGTGAAACACTCAAATTATTCTTTTCGTCTTTTATTCATGACCTGCGGGACATCCTGACTTTCCCTCTTACTGCTTTCTCCAAGTCAAACTCAATCTCCCTCCTCGCCCTTGTTTCTCTTCCCCCCTCTCTCAATCCTTCTCTTTCCCTCCTTCTCTTTCGCATTTTCCTCATTCTTTCATTTCCCATCTTATCATCCCCATGTGTGATATCTCTCTGAGCTCATGCATTCATGACTGATTACTTATTTACATAAACTATATAATGCAGTGCTGGGAAAAGGGTGGCCTTAAGAGCTTTGACATGCATGTTTTTTATGATTATGATTACTGGTAATTATGCATTGATGGAAACCACGTCCATTTGCGGTGTAGTATGCAGATATTTTTATTTAATGAGCCTTACAGGACAGCTAACATTGTATATGAACAATTCGTCAAAAATGTATTTTACTTACCATGTTGCTAAAACCTATAGAGTAATACATTAAACATTGAACTTTTAATGTATCCCCTGCAAAATTGAGTAATTTGAAGAGGGTCAGATATAATTTAAAAGTGACTTTGTTGAACTGTATCCCTACTTGGAATTTATAAGCAAAGAGGTAAATTACCATTTTATTTTTGCTTTGTTTTCATTTTACATTTTTTTCATGTATTTGGTCACTCATCTATCTCCGGTTCTTTATTTCTGAGAGATTACTATATGTTGTTGAGGGGTAATTGGCTGAATTAAGTCAAGATCCTTAATTTTATTATGTAATTAAGTAAAACAAAGTGAACAAACAACCGCAGATGGACATAAGAAACAAAAAATTCAAAGTTAAGGAGAATATGTGGTTGGGTTCACATTTTACAGTTACTACATTTACATGCTGTTATAAAAAAAATAAAAATCAATGCACTGAATAAGTCGCCTCTATCATGTACGTTTATATTGGACCTATTGCTGCAGGTTGGCCTGGAGGTTTAATGGCATAAACGAGTTGCTAAGAAGCTTAAAAAAAAGATAGCGTTTTCATTTCATTTCATTGTTTTGGTGAACCAGTAGATGACCCACTGTTTATTCAGCAGAAACCCAGAAACGAAAAGTAGTATGATTAATGGCTGTAACTTTTAAAGACTGCTTACATAATAGAGCCCAGAGATTCACCATACCAAATAATATACTTGCTTTTCTTCATTTGTTTTTCTTAATTTGTTGTGTTTTAAAGGCCTGCCTTACTGATCAGATGCAAATGTTCAGCTCATTAGTAATCTAAAGAAGCATATTGCATCCAATAAGGAAAAAACATGCTTTATTTTTTCAAAATTTACTGGCTCGTTATCTCAAAATTATTAGAAAAATTGATGGATAAGAATTTTTTTCACTCTTTTTCTAAACTAGCAAGATAATTATCTAAGAATCATGATAAAACTTGTTTTGTAAATAAAAAAATGCAATGTTTCTGAATATAATATAATGGATACTTCCAAGAAAACATTTATATTTTTCTGATTTAGCATGATAACTGTCTTATTAATTCAGAAAAATAAGGCAAGTTTCATAGACAGGTTATTTAGTAATTCTGTGATAATTATCTTCAGAAAAATAAAGATTTTTTTTCTCTAGGTGAATGCAATACACTCCCATAGCCTTTTTTTATACCCCTCTTTCTTGTTCAGTTTGCATTCAATACAGATGCCATGCTTTCCTGACCCTTCCCAAAGAAACACATCTACAGCTCTTTGTGAGGATAAAAAGAGTGAATACATTCAAGAGGGAGGTGACATTCAATAACTACAGTATATGTAATGTGATCTCGAAGTCTTCTCCTCATTTATTCTATTAAAACAGCATCGGTCAACCATTACAGATTCAGCTCAGTATGTCCCATCTGCCCTGTTACAATTGTTACATAACAGTGAATGTGAATTTGCAGTTCTGTACCAACAGAGTGAATCAGATTCTGGAAATGTCAGCTCTCTATTGTTGACTCAGGATCGATAGAGGCAGACAAGCAGTTAGACATTTGGTCTTTCAAAGCCTAAATCTAATACAATAATGTTCATTCTGAGTTTCTGTGCAGTTTCTATTGATAGCCTGTCAATGAGCTGGCAAGGAATGTTTTGTTGAAACTGAAGAGCATAGGGAAACAATGTTGGTGTCTCAGATTGCTTAAGTTTGCTGATTGTACTCTTATTCTAGGTAATTTTATTGTACACTATACCGTCTCCCTTCAGAATGAAGTATACTTTGTCCATATTTATGGTTCCGATAAAACCAAGTAGATTTTGACTGAATATCAAAAGTCTTAAGGAAATCAACAAAATATGACCCTCTCTAGTTGCATTTGCAAAAGTCCATTGTATAAGCATCTGACATTTTATGTGTTTCATCTCATTTAGTCAATAACACAGGTGTTTGTTCTTCTTCCACCTGTCCAGACCTACCTCTGTGCCAGGTCACGTAACAACACATGAACAGCAGGGTCCTCTTTGACAGGTGCATTACCCAGAAGTCCCCTCTCACCTTTTTATGTGCCTCTGTGTCCCTTCAGTGACGTACGTATCGAGGTAAAAACAAAATACATGTCACTGAGGTTGTCGCTGTGTGGCTAGCCCTTTAGCCCTCCAACACCGTCAGTTCTGCAGCTAACAACAATCACCCTGTCTCTTACCATAATTAGAGAGGATGGCATGTTGATCTGCACACACTGTAGAGTCTCTGCAAGCTGTGTCCACAGAGGTCTCAGATTTTGTTCCATCTGCTGGTGACAAAAGGTGTGAATATGAAGACAAATTTGGTATTAAAATGTATGATCTCTCGAGAACAAAGGTCAATAATAACAACTGTGCACAAAGTTCTGACAGCACTGTCATATTTTCTGTCAGAGGAGTGCATCTGAGGTGGTTAGATAATAAGATCAACTCATGTCTTTGAACTTTCAGCCAGAGTGATGATGTCTGTGTGTGTGTGTGTGTGTGTGTGTGTGTGTGTGTGTGTGTGTGTGCGTGCGTGCGTGCGTGTGTGTGTGTGTGTGTGTCTTGTTTGGTCTCTCTGTAAATCTGAGTAAAATATAATGTGCATATGTTATCATTGGTTTTGTTTGATAATCGGAAAAATTAAACAGTAATTTGTTGAGTCATTTAGCAACAATAGGAATATTCAAAAAGTACACAAATCACTACATAATACTTGTGCATGTAGTCTAACAAGAATGTACTTCAACTTTGTCTGAAGCTGTTTGATTTATTATTTCAGTGTGTTTTCCCCCCTCATCATACAACTGCACAGGGCCCGCTAGAGCCATTTCGGTGCACTAGACGGGATAAGGATCTGGACCCCACCACAAATAATAAATATGTAAAGAATAAAATAAAAATGTAAAATTAAGAAAATTGTGTAAGGTCCTGTTGAGGTTTTAAGTAAATACTAAATCAAGTTCAAATACTCCCAACAGCCTCCACAACCTGGTTGAGCATGGTTTTATGACAGAGGTCTGGAGGTCAGCGTCTAGCTCTTCAGGCCTTTCCTTGGATTCTGTAAATCTCACATGGGAGACCTGGGCTGAGGCATGAATGATTATAGAGATGGTCAGTTATGGAGTCAGTTTGAAAGGTGATAAAAACTTCGAATTGACCAATTGAGAATAGCCAAAGGTTTGGGTCAACCTCCGCTTGGGTCAGTGGTGTAACCTGAAAGTCTAAACAAGTCTGGAAAAATGTATATGACTCTGTGTCGTGGGACCAGATAAGGAACCTTTCCTGCGAGGAATGTGCGAGTTTCCCACACAGGGTTGTGTTGATGCTAAATCACTTTCAGAGCTTTGGCTTCATTTTAAGGACAACACTTGCTAAATGAAATGCCAGATTTCACTTGTAGTTAAGTATTCTGATCCTGTTTCATTACAACTGAGGGTTTTTATCCCAGTTAACAGACTGAACAAATCATTCAGTCTTTTCAAGCTTTTATATAACCTCCATTATATCATTAAGACTTGGGCTTGTATGAATTGGTGGAATTTATGATTTCTTCAAAGTGGTTTCATACAGGTGAAGGTATATTGTTGAAAAAAAAAATAAGTATACTCGATTTTACAAATGAAACCCCCTAAATCTTCCACACTGGTGCTGAAACACGCACACAGTTATGATGACCTCAGTGATAACAATGCAGTCTGGCTTCGCTTGCACAGAGTCACAATAACCAAAAAGTGACAGCACCTCATCAGTGCTGGTCTCACATGTTTAAAGATGAACGCTGTCTGAGACAACAAAACAGACTCTGAAAGCCTGTACTTAATTTAGAGATTCAACTGGACACCTTGTCAAGAGGTAACCTTAGCTGTCTGCTCTTGCCCGTAACACTGTGTAGAGAGTGGCCTTAAAACTTCCATCAGGTGCTGCATGACCCATGTGGTTCGACAGGTGGTGAGGTTGACAGAGATGTGGACCTTCGCCATGACGGTGGCTGTTCTGAGATACCCTCTGTCTCTCTGCTAACCCCACATGAACAGGTAGGTGTGTTCTGTTGATCTCATCTGTGGCCATATTTAGCCTTTGAGTGTGCGCATATAGCTACAAAGGGAGACTTATATTATACCTGTAGGAAAATGTATGTATATATGTTTAAGTTTACATCCTCAACAACAAAAAGCCTTGACACCCAAAAACAAGAAAGATGGCGGCATCTACAGATAAATATTGGTTGTGTTGTGTTGTGTTTAGAATGCAGCACATCTCCATTCAGGTCAGGCTCAGCCAGATGCTCATGAATACAGTTGTAACTCGCAGACCTGCAAGGGTAGTTATACGTACCAAAGTTTTGGAAAGCTCAAGGTCACTTCCTGTTTATTCTCACTTGGTCACATACTTGCTGTCAGGCCATTGACTGCCTGGCTGACCCTTCGTTCTAGCTGTGGCATTCGACATGACAGTTACAGGGTTTCACTTCATATTCATTTGAATCATCATTTCTTTATTTTTTTAATGCCTCATTAAAATTAGTAGGGCTGTTGTTCACTTAATTTTTTTATTCCCCTTGGGTTGGGATGCACTCGCAAGACAAGGTTAACACTCAATGACGCAAATGTGATAATTAAATAAAAACTTTGGACACCTGTCTTCATACTGAAGCTTAACAAACTACAAAAATAGCTCTGAAACTAGAGATGTGTGTTTGTTTGATTTTTTACCCCAAGTGATGCGCCCAGTGCTCATTTTTTTTCCAGAGCCTGGACTTTGTTTTCGGGGTTAACACCATCTGTAAGTCTTTTCTTAACAAGGTGAATTTGTAGGTGAGACAATTGCTGTCCTTGTCCAAGTTTACATGCACTGGGCAAGAATCTAATTATTGACAGAAGCATGTCCATTTTTGCTAGGTGAGGTGGCAAATCCTGCTTTCAGCTTGTAACCATCAGACCATCTATCGTACATGGTAGTAAATGGCTGATGGGATGTCACTTTTACAGCTCTGTGCCATTTATGACGAAAGTCTCACATGTTTTACATCATTTCTGTGTCTGACAAGTTTTTGTTTACCACCTGCTTCCTAGCAATCCATTTAAAAGTCCAGTTTCAGTGAGACTGAGGCTGTATGACTTGAATGTTGAGGCAAGCTACCTAGCCTAGCAGCATGCGGCTATTTTTCTTTGCTCTGATTAGCCAAAGAGTTGTGGTAACAAATTATAAAATTTAACTCAGAAATAAAGCTGGAACAAGGTTCCCAACTAATTTGCATATATAATGGTCTGACAATGTCAAGGCACCACAAACACAACAACCCCACATTGCTCTTAAAGGTAATCTGGTTTCTGATTAGGAAAGGAGACGTAATCTCAGTGCTGCTCGAGCTGGCAAAAACAATGAGCACAAACTGAATTGTGTGTTCTCCAATGGGTGAAACAAAGGGAAAGAATTCAAAAGGATCCCTGTGCACATCTTAGCTTCAAGAGAAGGGGTACTTTTATCACAGTGAAAATGCATGGCATGAGAAATTGCAGGAAATAGATGCCTTTGTGAATATGTGTTAATTAGGGACGAACACTTCCAAAGCCATAATTAGTCTGTGTCCGTTGTCCTTCTCCTTAGCCTCCCTTCCTCTCTCAATGTTCAGCTGGAAAAAAAAATCGGGATAAAGAGACGAATGGCAACTAAAAATAACATATCTTCTTGTGATCATTAAAATGAGAAAGTAGAGGAACAGCTGTTAAGAACAAAATAAACACATTAACACCAAAACTCTGCAGTGTGCAATCACAGAGGCCCAAAGAGACAGCTGTCTGCCTTTAATTACAACAATGTCCATTTCCCTTTCGTTTAGTATTGTTACAACTTTCATTCTTCTTTGTCTGTATTCAAATATATTTTTATCATATTTCTTCAGATTTGTTTTTCTTCAAAATTCAATACTGTATAAAATTCCTGAAATTTGAGATGTTCACATAATGCATCATTTGCTCTGTATAGTTCAGCTCAGGCAATTAGTTATGAAATCCTAAAGTATGATATGCGTTCCAATTTTACAGCATTATTCTTAAACATTTTCAACTTTTATGACAAGTACTCGCGGATTTTTCACTGGAACAAATTCTGTTATTCATAATTTACATCCTGATGCTAATTTCATGTTTTTTGTCCTGTCTCAGTGGTGTATGAATGCTTTTTGTTTCTGCCTAGCTCCTACAGCAACATGTCTCAAAGAAGGAGGGGGAGGTCCTCTCTGACCAGCAGCTCTGTAACCAGGAAGGGGGCTCTAGTCTGGACCAAGCGGACCCAGAACCTCTAGAGTTCAAAGAGGAACAGACCAACTCTGCACTAGTCAAGATGGAGAGCAGCTTAAAGCAGACCAAGAGACAGAAGACATTGAGTTGAACCACACACATGAAGAAAGTGTCACTGAACCAGAAATAAGAGATGAAGACCAGCTCTTTTCTCACAACTCTCATGTTTTTGAAAACCAAGTTCAAAAGAAAGGCAAGCATGGAGAATCAACCCTAAAATCAGGACCAGGAGAAAAGGAAAAAACATCAGAACACAAAACTGTCAGTGTCTCAGTCTGATCCTCAGCAAGGTGAAAAGTCTCATAAATGAGACATGTGGGCTAACTTTAAGTGGATGTCAAGATTGAAGACACATCTGCGTGTCCACACAGGTAAGAAGACGCATACTTGCAAGATTTGTGGGAAAATGTTCAGTTACAAGAAATTACTAACGGGACATATGAGAACGCACACAGGGGAGAAACCTTACTCTTGTAGGACTTGGGGAAAATATTCAATCAGATTCAAAAAATTTAAACAGGCACAAGCTAATTCACACCGGGGAAATGCAAATTGTGACAGTGTGTTTTGTTAAACTACAGAATGTATGAATTGAACGTGAGATAAAATACCTAGACATAATCTCAGTGCTGCTCAAGCTGGAAAAAAAAAAAAAGAGCACAAACTGAATTGTGTGTTCTCCAATGGGTGAAACAAAGGGAAAGAATTCAAAAGGGTCCCTGTTCACATCTTAGCTTCAAGAAAAGGGGTACTTTTATCACAGTGAAAATGCATGGCATGAGAAATTGTAGGAAATAGATGCCTCTGTGGATGTGTGGTAATTAGGGACGAACACTTCCAAAGCCATAATTAGTCTGTGTCCGTTGTCCTTCTCCTTAGCCTCCCTTCCTCTCTTAATGTTCAGCTGGAAAAAAAATCGGGATAAAGAGACGAATGGCAACCAAAAAAAACATATCTTCTTGTGATCATTAAAATGAGAAAGTAGGGGAACAGCTGTTAAGAACAAAATAAACACATTACCACCAAAACTCTGCAGTGTGCAATCACAGAGGCCCAAAGAGACAGCTGTCTGCCTTTAATTACAACAATGTCCATTTCCCTTTCGTTTAGTATTCTTACAACTTTCATTCTTCTTTGTCTGTATTCAAATATATTTTCATTATATTTTTTTCAGATTTGTTTTTCTCCTAAATTTAATACTGTATAAAAATCCTGAAATTCAAAATCGGTATAATTCTCGGTTTAGTTCAGCTCAGGCTATTGGTTATGAAATCATTTTAGGGGATATCAAATGCATAGTTAGTTATTTTTAGAAAAAACACTTTCATTCTAGCTTGCCAAGAATTAGATAAGATCAAACCCACTCTTTGACTCCGTCCAAAGGTGACAACTTCCACCAACCCACATCTGAAAACTTACTTGAATCTTATATCTTATTTAAAAGGTGGTAAAATGTGGGTGTAAAAAAGTGGTTTAACAGGGGATTGTGTAAGGAACATTATTTTCAGCTATGGGTAGATGTGCAAATATGTAATAGATTTATTGTCTTGTGTACAACGTTTTTCAAGGGTACTGCAGAAACTGCCTTTGTTTCTTTTCCAGAGGGCCAAAGTTACGTTAATCTGCTTTTGTCCTACCTTATCTGCCAAATCAAAATACTCTGACTGTCACAAACTCAGATATTCTACAAAGCAAATGCTGCAATTGATTGACAGTTCTGCACAATAAGTGTTTACCACTTACCGATTATAGCATCAAATTTTAGTTTAAAAACGGTTTGGTTTAAGTTTGCAGCACCACAGTGAGGGTTTTCCAAAAGTTAGATGTGGTTTGACGTTGAAATAACTTGTCATGTTTTCACGTCTTCTCATCATACTTTCAATACAGGCATTTATATGTGTTCAGCCAAACTACAAATGTTGTTTTTATTTTGCTTCCTATCACCAGAAAAATAATCACTTCAATCTCCAGTAAGATTAAAAGGTTTTAAAGCTTTTAAGACTTTCTGTGCTGTTTACTTGCAGGTCTACTGACTAATGTAGGAAAAGCAGAATTTAAACTTTTACAAGTATCCCTGCGGTCTCAGTCCTCTTGTTCCTGATGTAAACGCAGCCAAATGATGAACAGAGAGAATGAAAAATGAGGAGGCTTGTGTTTTACAGGAATGATGCTTAATTACATACAATGCTGCCATTTAGATTTTATTGTCCTGCCTGAGTGTTGGCAGACTGCAGCACAATGTGTTGACTGCATCCATCCTTTCTTTTTTCTTGATTTGTTTTGCTCCCTCCCATTTTAAAAGGCAACAATGCAAAACCAATCTGAACCCTTCATAGTTTCCCTCAGTAATCAGTCTCTAGTTTTTCAGGCAAGGCTTTAATCAAACATCTCATTGCATCAACCAGCCAGAAATGTGTGATTTCGACAGAAAGACAAAAAGGCTTGCAATTACTCTCGTAGGACCTGTTCCTCCTCTTCTCTGCTACAGCTGCAGAATTGAGGGCACTATTCCAAACACGTTCTCTTCCTCCTCCTTTGTCTTGTCTTTCCTTCTCTTTGTGTTAGAAAATAAGAGCACCAAACCCAAAGCTTACTGACAGAAGATGTGTTTTGTAATGAACACTGTGGGGAAATACCTTTATTTCTTTATAATTATGAAACAAAATGAGTATTTATGTGATTATGGGAATGCATGAATAATTTAACAAAGGTTAACATTTGAGGTTATGTAACATAAAAGTCTTTAAGAATGACTGAAGTATACAGGAGAATTAAAAACTTGCATATGGTCCATTATATGCTGGAGAGAGGAGCTTATTTTCAAGCCTAAGATTATCTCAATCTAGTAGTTTTATGTCTCTAAAAATGTTCAAACATTGATTTCAATGCTAAATACTACAGGGAGACACAGACAGGTTTCCAACTAGGACAGATACATGGGGAAGCTGATGAAGAGCTGGTTGCTTTTCAAAAGTGGTAAATTTAAATTTCCACAGCAGCAAATAACACAAAAGGGCAGTCAAATTACAACAGAAGTAGGCTTTGCATTTGCTTACATGTGCCCTTAGTTTGTGAGAAGTTGAACTTTGCTTGGTCGTTTTTGTCATTATGTGCTTATTTTGTAAAAAAAAAAAAAGAAATTGTCAAGTATTGTAATTTGTGTGGCTGGATGTGGCACATTTTTCAGCTGCTCACAGTATTGCTGAGCCCCAAACACATGAATGTGGAAATCTATGACAGAGTATAAGGGCTACATTAAAGGGATATTCCGGCATAAAATTAAGTTAGGGTCAAACACACCGTAACACTGAGTTAGACACCCTGTTGAAAGATGACTGTTGCCGACTGCTTGCTTCTCTAGTTATACCAACTTTAGTAACGACCTCTCTACAGAGAGCCACGCGCTCAACCAAAAAGCCACTCTATAGCCATAAATAATGTTCAGAACAGCACCTAACTTCATCAATAGTACATATAGGGTCCCAGCCATAGCACCAGCCACCAAACATCTTTTTAGCTTTGCCTGATTTCTTTAGCAAAGAGACTAAACACAACTCACCTACTCTCTTCCAGCAGCCGCTTGTTTGTAGAAAGACCTTGGGCAAGTCCATCGACTGCAGCGGGGGACGCAGCTCAAGGAAGAACATTTATGATGCAGTGCGTTTGACCCTAACTTAATTTTATGCCGGAATATACCTTATAATTTATAATTTATAAAATTAATTTTGTTTCAAGATTTCAAAATAGATAAATAACAAATAAATAAAATAGATTAACAACATTTTCTAAAGTCATTTTTCTCCTAAATTTAAATAGAAAATAATAAAGAATAACTTCCTACCACCTGAACCAGGAGAAACATTAGCCCAGGGATACCAACAGACTACTAGATCAATGAATTGACTTACAGTTCAAGAATACAAAAAAATATCAAGCTGAAAATAGAACTCACTGTATGTTCACTTTCACGTATCTCCTTTCATAACTTTTCCCTATAAAAACTATTTTTAAATTATTATTATTATTTGGGTTAGCATCTCTCTTTTGGCGTACTCTGCTTTCTCCGTGTCAAATTTCTTCTCCCAAACAGATCGTTTTCAACGTGCTGCTCTTGAACACACCCCCAGCGTGAGCTCTCAGCGGTAGATTTGGATCGTACCGGCTACTATTAGCAGAAAATGGGAGACGACTTGGGTGACGATTGGTGGGAACACGAGAATAATTCAGGTATTACGCCTTCCGTCTTTGTTTTGAGTGTGTTTGAGACTGCTGACCCGGGAGATTTTCTTGTGTCTTCATGAGCGAATAGTCTTGAGATTAGCTTGAAGCCAGGAGGAGAGTTGCTAACTGTGAGCTAACGCTAGCTTGACAGTTGTGTCTCGTGAGTTGCTATTCACCTCTGTAACCTCTAACTACAGTTCCCATGGAAACAAGTGATTAGCAGCTTGTTTGATTTCTTACCTCTGTTATGTTGGGAAGGGGAAAGTTAACGTTGGTAGCACGGCTTGCTACCAGCAGGATGTGTGTTTACACGTGTGTGTTTACACGTGTGTATCCATGATTACGCGTGGGAACCGGAACAAGCTGTTTGTGTTGCTCATATGTTATCTTTTACGTTGGGTACTCAAGGCTGAATCTCAAGATCACCTGTTTTTGCTTCATGTAACTTACAGTCTTGACTCCTCCATGCTGATCTCCTCCTCCAACATCAACACAAACTGAAGAAAAGCCCTGTGGCTACTCCTTGTCCAGATTAATGCTCTCTGCACACCAATAGAGGGCGGTAATGCACTTCAAGGTTTGCTGACCTTAATGCATTGCCCAGAAAAGTTTTACTGCAGTGTCCAAGAACAAGAATAAACTTATTTCATAAAGTTACAAAAAAATAAAAATAGAAACAAAAAAATTATTAATTCATTAAAAAAAAGGGAAAACTCAAATTTAGATGCTTTGATTCACTTTAACTCTGTTACAGTGGGGGCCAACAATTATCCACAAACAGACTTGACAAAAACATTGTAAAATACCATAAATGTGCCACAACTAAGAACTTAACAAAGGTCATTTGTGGATTAAGTCACCTGAACAAAACAGCAGAAAGAGGCAACATTAAAACATTAAATTGTGTGCGCTCCTCCCCTCTCTATCAGCTTTCTACATTAACTCTGTTATTTATTTACAGTGCAAAGATGTTGAGACAAATCCTCCCATTTTGTAAGTTTATCCTGATATAGTCAATTGAATATGTTTCCCATAAATAACTGGCATTTACATACACAATCTTATCTACAATAAGTTGTGAACTATGGTACAATAACTCATTCACTTTTTTGGGCACTCAAAAGGAAAACACTTCAAATATTATGTGATGACAATTACCTTTTCTTTGAATTAGTTGTATTTTATTCAACTCACCAATTATCAATCAAATATCTTAGTTGCAGTTACTTAATCATTACAAAAATCAGTGCTCAAATCACATTCTTTGCCTATTTTTAAGATTTCATTATAATATTGTTAGGCTGCTGTGTTGCGTCTTGTAATCCTTGGCCCGTCGGATGTGTTTCTTGCATGAACTAAGGGAGCTCCATCTCTTTTTCTGTAAGATAATCCTTTGGCCTTGGGAATCTTTGTTGGGCCAAGCCTCTTCAGTGACGCTGCTGGAATCTGATTGGAGAAAAGAGGAATTAATACTTGTTAGGGTTTGCTCTCACCTGCATATATATCAGCCAATTAATGAAGTTGCACAGCTTTAATTCCACAGGAGTTGGGGTGCTGTGTAACATGTTAATGAAAACAGAATTTGAAAAAAAAAAGATGTTTCTTACATGATTCCACCTTTCTCTCTCCTCTCTTTTTTGTTTCTATGGTTACAGGATAACCTACCTGTTAGTGAAACTTTCTTGCAACCCTAAAGTTGTCAAAAGTAAGACTATTTAAAAAAGATGGGCTAAATTTTTTATCATACTACTATGCTGTTTGACAGTCTACCGTATACAAATTAATAATATTCTGAGTTATAAAGTAAACCAAGTATAAAAACTGAATAGATACCGTCTGTTTCAACTTAGACCACAGGCGCTAGAGCATGATGTCACAGAAAAGTGGCCATAGTGTAAAAGTGGTGTGTGTTTTGAAGCATCCCATTTAATGAGTATTTCACACTGTTATATTTATTGACTTGGGCCTTTTTTGGTCAGTCATTACCACACAAATAATGTGTTTTCTAGGTTTGTAACCATATAGAGGAACTTTTTGAGCATTTTTTTAAGTTGTCTTCTTTACTCTGGCTAGCTGACATCAACTCGTTCTTTCGTTTTTATCAAGGATGTTCAACCAAAACAGCTCTGAGGCTGACAGAAAAATGACAAGATGAAAAAAAGAGCTGAAGTCTGCCAGGTAGAGTATGGTTCTTAATATGAAGTCAGTCTTATGAATAAGAGGAGATTCGTGAGAAACAGCATGACGCTTAAGCTGATGTTTCTTTTGGCTTAATGCTCACACTAATGACAAAAATTCTCAAGGGAACTTAGTCACAGACTACAGTCTGCAGTACACTGTCATCAAATATCACATCTGGTTTCCACCTTGCCAGCTGATGATGTCAGTGTGGTTAATGCGTGTCTGTTTTTGTCATCATATACCTGTTATATGGGCTCTCTGCCAGCTTCTCCTACCTCAGGAAGCATTACTTTGTCCCTGAGTGCTGTAAGCAAGTTTCTCATTTAGATACAACTACCAGAGGTTTATACCAGTGTATGTTTGACATGAACTGCCCATCTGTAAAACCATAAAACTGGCTGTATTTTTTAACACACAAGTATAAGATCAACCAACATTCACTAAATTAATCCAGTGCTTGTTGGGTTTTACTTAAAACTACATATACTACCATTTGGTATAGTGCTTAATACAAGATACTTTTCAACACTTTGTTCCAAATATTGTATCTATAGATTGTCAGACTCAAGTCAGCAGAAAATGCCTTAAAAGCAAACACATCCTTCACTGCTTCTCAACAGTGCACTCACCTTAACTGACCCAAACTTTAGCTTTTTTCTCAAAGGTAATTTTGCTGTATTTTCGATGACAATTTTCTTCCTCTCAAACCCCTTCCAAGGCTTTAGTTACTAAGAAATTGTAAATATTTTACCAGGCTTTAATAAATCAGAAAATATTCACAAAGTAATTAGATGAGCACAACTTTCATGAATTATTATTATAAAGTAAAATTTCGCTGTGAAACTTTGCCTTTTATCTTTTCACTAGGGCTTAATTTGGCAGCAGATGACAAGTTTAAGAAAGCAGTAATGACCGGTAATTGCTAAGCTTTGCGCTGGATCCTTTTTTAATGGTAAATGAGAAAAAGTCTAAAACTGTGTAATTTTTTTATGTATTAGTTTATTCATATCAGTCCCAAATATCAAATATTTTGTGGGTCAAGATTTATAATTTGCACTCAAAATTGCTAAGGCCTTTGGTAATCTCAACCATCATTAAACCTGAACAGACTCACTACCTCTAGGTGTTTCATGTTTTATTGTGTCAGAAAAAACGAGCTGGGTTTTCCAGTGCATATTTGCTGCAGGTTTCACAGAACCACACTCAAAAGTACACGCACGAAGCTATGAGGATTTTAACTGTGTGGGAGACTCGACTTTTCTATTAAACTCAGTTAACACATAAACCTTTCTGTCCCAGCGTTAACAGAGTTAATGATCAAGTTATGGGTTTTTTTTCCTTTGGAAGAGCTTGATGTTTGCTTTATGAAGTTTGGCCCTTGAGGGGGGAAAACATCAAACAGGGCCTCTACCATTTTCTTACTCTATTTTCTGATTCTAACTATTTTGCATTTTAACAGGCCTGTAATCTGTTGGCTCAGTCGATAGCGGACCTCTTGAAAATATTAAAGGTGAACAAATAAAATCAGCACAAGCATATTTAATAAACAGGAAATATCACAAATGGGACAGGTTACAAAAAAGAAAAGCATTTCACATATTTGGTCACAATGTATTAATTAGCTCTAATACAGGCATTAGACACACATAACATAGTCAGTAATGGGGTTGTTAAAGGGCACATTATCTAGATCAAGTAGGCTTTATAAAGGCCGTAATAAAACAAAAACCACAAGATGTTTATTTAATGCATGTTACAGAAACTCTTCAGGTTCTCATTTTAGGAACCGTGCAGATAAGAAGTCCAGGATTTTGACTGAAATCTCAATACTGCATGTTAAGAGAATACATTCTCTCCTAATCACAAAGGCCACTTACTGTTATATTAGAGGAATGTGAAGCTGAAGAGGTAGCAGGAGATATAGTGATGCTACTCGTAATCTTGCCGACACCTTTGACATGACAGCCATTGGCGAGCACTTGAGTCCGCTGCTCATGTCGGAGGTAGTACGGCCCAACAGGCTGCGGGATGCTGTGGGTTATACCATTTAGAGACTGGATGTAAGGGCTACCCACATGGATGTGGATCTTGTTGTCCTCTGTGGTAATGATACTTGGACTCGAGTCAGTGCTATTAGACCTCTGATGTTGCCAGCTGTTCTGTCGCTCCGGCGTCTTGCAGAAGACTGAAGTCTGATTTGCGACCTCTGCGGGCTCTGGAGAGCAGGTTCGCACTGTTACGATCTGAATTGGGGGACCGCTGTGGTCTGGTGTCGCAGAGCGTGGGGAATTTGGACTTAGCACCCGGGAGACTGTTGGGGGGACGGTGCGATCTGGGCTTGAAGGAGGTGTTTTAGTGCTTACAGATGAGGGGGAGTTCTGGATGATGGTGATTCTCTGCTTTGGTGAGGCCCCAGCTGCTGGAATCATGGCCTTGCTGGTGTAAGATGTTGCTGCATCCCCAGTTGGGCTGCTGAACTCAAGTGTGGCTGTATTTAGTATGTGATGGGGTGTTACTTTAATGTGCAGTGGCTGCCCTGGAGTGTGTGTTAACATCATTACCTCACTATTAGTTTGGGGCATATCAATACCATTGGTTGATTGGCTGCTGTATTGGCTTGTGTTATTATTTGCAGTGTTCAGGCTGTTTAGATTGTTGACAAGAGAGCTTCTTCTGTTTGAGACTTCCTCATTGTGGTTCGGGTCCTCTCCTTCGTCTTCTTCTACTCTCTTGCTGTGATTACCGTAAGCAGACAGGCTATCGTCTGGATCGGTTTGAACTTCTCTGTTGGTCTGCTGAAGATCTGAAAAGTGTCGCCCATTTGCAGCAGGGGAAAGGTTCTTCGTTTGTCTATACCTTCCAAGCTCGCTACCCAGTTCCTTCAGCTCCCTGGCCAGCTCCCTGTTCCTGCCCTCCTGCAGGGTCAGCTTCCTCTGCAGAGTGGAGTGATCTGTCTGAACCCTGCTGATGGACTCCTCAGTACCCATCAGCTTCTGCAGTTTCTCTTTCAAAGTTTCTACCTCTCTGCTCAACAGTCTGGACTTCACCTGCTCCTTCTGCAGACGGCAAAGAAGGAGGTGTTCTTGGTTAACGTCCTGCTTCTCTGCCTGCTCATACCTTGATAGCTCCCTCTTTGACGCCTCCAGCTCCTCTGTAAGCATGTGGGACCTCCTCTGCTCATCCTTGAACCTCTTTTGCAGGGACTCATAGTCCTCCTCCACCTGCATTAACTCTCCCTCCAACATCTCCTTGTCCTGTAGTCTCTTTCGCAGCCTGTCCACCTCTTGGGTCAATTCTTTGACTTTGTTGTCTTCTGTTTGGCGGCGATGGTTTGTGTTGTTTGTTATGGAACTATGTGTGTACTTATCCTCTTTTTCTTTCCTGTTTTCCAGCACTTGCAGCCTACTTCTCATGATTGTCATTTTACTCTGCAGCTCTCTGTTTCTTTCCTCCTCTGCTCTCAGCCTATACTGGAGCTCTTCTTTTTCTTTCCCTATGCCCTTAATCCTCTCCTCCAAATCTCCCTTACACCTCAGTGCCTGTTGCATCTCATCTTTCAGTCTTTCTGTTATCGTTGCCAAATTGCTGTGCTCGTTCCTCTTGCCCTCCTTCCTGTTCAGTTTTTCCTCAGCCTGTTTGAGCTTCTCCGCCATCGTCTTTCTGTCCTCCACCAAAGCCACAGTCAGAGATCTGAGCTTGGTCAGGTCTTGTCGAATCACTGCTTCACTCTTCTCCTGTTTGCTTTCAACTGCCTCGAGCTCTTTCACCCGAACTTTCAGAGTGTTGAGCTCAGCTGACAGCCTCTTGCTAACCTCTCTCTCTTGCTCCAAGCTGCCCATCAGAAGGTTGCAGTCCTGTTTGCTCTTGCCTAAAGCCTCCTCAATCCTGTCCAACTCACTGATTCTGCCTGTGAGTTTATCTACTTCCACTTTCAAGCTACGGCAGTAGCTGGTCTCCCTTGCTAGTCTGCGGTCCAAGTCCCGGCACTGGTCCCACATACGTATCAGCTCCTCATCCTTTCCTTCCATTTCCACCACCCTCCTCCTTAGCACCTCCACCTCTGACAGCAAGCTTGGGGCTGTCATGGTATCCTGGTTTTGGTTAAAGATAGAAACTTGGTTGTTTTGCTCCACCTCAAGATGAAGAAGCCTGAGTTTTGCCTTCTTTGTGCTGGGGTGAGTTGCTCTGACCTGCTGCTGAATGTGGTGAGTGATAGCAGTCAAGTCTTTGACACGATGCCGCTGTTCTTCCAGCTGCTCACTCAGACTCTGTTGCTCCTGAACAACCAGCACTGCAAAAACCTTGAGCTTGTTCAGCTCGTCCTTTAGAGCCGACACTTCTCTTTCACTTTTCTTCTGCTGTATCTCCCGGTATTCTCTTTCCTTGGCTATCAGGAGCTTAAGTCTGCAAAAAAACAAACAAATGACGCTGATGTTAAACAGGATTCATGAGCTGCTTCATTATGTAATTGCCTCTTTCTGCTTCCTAGTAAACTTTTTTCTTGTTTATACTTGACCCCTCGGCCCCACATTTTAAACACCGGTAATTTCTCCCGTTGTGTATTTCCAGCATAAACAGTGACTTTCAGTTTTTAGGAGAATCTGATTCACAGTTTCCTTCCTTCTCAGATTTCTATCACTGCGTCCTTTTCATTTAAACATCCGTGTCGGTGTTTCCAACCCCAATTTCTATATGTACCAAAAAAGCGACCTAGAAACATGTACAATTTTCATGTTGTTGTGCGCTCATTTTGCTGCATTCTTGACAATCACAGCAGATGGTCCCTTGGCAGGGAGCGTTTGTTAATTAAGAAGTTCAACTACCCTTGAGTACCCTCAACGTTGCACCCAGTCAGCCCCCTCCTGTGCACAACAATTGCTACCCCATTTCCAGCTAAGAGAGGCAGGAATCCCCCCTGTTTCATGTGTAATTACATACAGGCTACATAAGTGCTGTCACTCCTCACATTTCCCCAGATGCCGACTAACAACAGACGAATCAATTCAATGTGCGCCATACATTTTAGTGCCACTGCAAGTTACGCGAGTTCAAAATGACCTGTAACATTCAAGAGTCAGTCGCTTGGTCCAAGTGTGTGGGCTGTTTTACAACTGGTGTTGTACACTAGAAGTATTTGGAGTGCAGACATGAGGTTGCAATGTGAAGTCAAAGAATATTTTAATCAATATTAGTTTCTTATGCAAGGCTTTGATTTTTTTTTTTTTCCTACATTGCATGTTGAAAATGTTTCAGAGCTGGTTTTGCATCTAAAAGTTAAATGCTTAAGGTGTAAAGGCTCGTGGAAAAACTCTTGACAGCCGCTCAGATTACATTAAATCTTTCAAACAGCATATTTTGTTAAAGGTTAGAGGAGTAAAACATTTAGAGTGTGCATACATTTGCGTTTGAGAAAGATCAAAAGTGTGTGGGCAAGAAGGTCAAACTCATAAAGGTCTAATCTTTTGAATGAAACAGCCGGATGTTTCACATCTGCAAATTAAGGGAGTGTTGTAGAACATAATTCAGTGTTTAGTTTTGTGTTTCCCCTTTTTTGGTTCGTTTGTATTCTTTGGACAGTGATCTTTCTGGACAAAATTCATATTGACAAAGAATTGAAACAAATTTTGCTTCAGCACGTTGTCAGTGCAAAAAAGTTTTGGACTGCCATTCCTGAATACTGTTTTTAAATGTTCGACATAGATACCTCAAATTAATTTCAAAATCACAGTCCTTCAACTCTATGAAGGAAAAAGCTAATGCCCTCTTTGTGCCTAACTCAATCTTGCAGAAAAGTGCAACTTTTAAAACGACACCTTCCTCAAAAAGGACATTTTATCTTTCCACAGTTCACACATCCCTTCTCTGGTCCTACCTGTGTTGTGCCGTTGGCCTCTGTCCTTTAAAGTCCTCCGAGAATAAAAAGTCTCCACTCTTTCACCTCTCCCTTTCCCGGAGATCCCAGTGATGTGGACATTCCATCCGGAAAACCAAACATTATGAGAAGTGCTCTGCACATCGAGTCTCACTCGCAGTCAGTGGCGCCCATTACATCATCAGCAAGTCCTTATATGGGACTGTACAGGCTCTACTGCTGTGTGCATGTGTGCGTGTGTGTGCTTGCTTGTGTGAGTGTGTGTTTTTACTGGAGTTCAGCCCATTCCAGATGAGGTCATTGTGTAGCCATGCCAAAGAGGCTAATGGGAAGGACAGTGTGTGTGTCTGTGTGTATGTGTGTGTGGAAAGAAAACCTTCAATCACAAGTCAAACTGCAAAAGTTTACACTCCCAGTTTGCAGGATTAGCCTGAGCAAACATGTTAACTATGCCACATGAGTGCCGGGTCTAACTTTGTATGTATAAGGAACTGAAGCTTGACTAAAAGCATGCATACTGTATGGTTTGTGTGTGTGTGTGCGTTTGATTGTGTGAGTGTGTGTGTGTAATTGCTGTTCCCACATTTAAGAGGAGACATGTTTTGTGAGTTGTAGCTGCCTTGCCTGGGGCTTGATAACCTGACTGTAAGATGACATCATCAGTTCATCGCCCTCAACTACATCCATATGTCTCTGTCTTTTCTCCCTCCCTCCTTCCCACATCGCCTCTCTATCTTTCTGTCATTCTGTTCTTTACCAAACTGCTTTTGCACAAAGGGCTGTTTGTTTTTGCAACTGTAATTTTTACCTTCCTCTCGCCATCATCAGTTTCTTCTGTATCCCTGCGCTCTGTTCCAGATTACTCAAGTCAAACCTCTGCGCTCAGTGGCGCAGGGAGAGATGACAGATTATACTCCTGTTATTCTCACTGCTAGTCTCATCTGTCACCAGAGGAGTGACAACAATCACAATGGAAAAATAAAGGATATATTTTAGCTGACTGGATGATAGTACTTCCACAGTGCAGCGGGAGTAACAAAATCATGTATGTCTGTGTGTGACAAATGCTCCCCTCTGGGAACATTTACTAGCATTATGGCTCCAAGTCCTCGCTTTCACTGGGAAAAATACCTCTGGTGGTATTTCTTTCTGTCAAGCAGCCCATCTAGTCCCCAATTAAATGAGAACTATTTCCCCTGTGTCATGATGTCATCACACAGGAATTCACAAAACAGCCAAAAAGACCCACTTTAGCTTCACTTTTTTGACGTTTATGTTCTGAGGGGTTTTAACACCAGGCTTCGGAGTCAGTGTTGACCGATCATGTGTTTAAACAGGGCAGTGAAAGCTAGGACCACAGTGCCAACAATTTTTACCACAGTAGAAGGCAGACCTCATTAATGCTGTGGATCTCTATGCTGAAAGATGGGATCATGTTGTTAAACCATTCACGTCAGAGAAGAGGAATAAACCCACAGTTTACAAATGTGCAAACATTGTCTCCATGGTTATTGAGAGTTTCTGTCCAGTCCAGATTCAGCAGCTCTGTTCTGTCACAACAGAGTTGTTTGAAAGCATCGGTGAAAGCTCGGCTAGTGGCTCCTCCTAAAGTCCTGTGCCACCAAAGTTCATCAGAAAGTCATTCCATTTATTAAATGGATAAAATATAGAATGATGTCTCTTACTGAGCTACAAAAGCAATAAAACCACCAGCCTGAAGACAAGCCGTTTATATGAGGTCATTTTTAATATCTGAAACTGCTGAGAGGGGGGAGTAATACAGGCAAAATTAAGTTTACTTTAAAAAAAAAAACAACTTTTAGGCGTGAGAAGGTCAAATCTCAATATTCCTTAAAGCAAGAAAGCTTGCTTTGACCATATTGGGACACAAGCTTTAGACCAAAGTATGTGTTAATTTACAGATGTACGATTCCCGTTGAAGTCACCATTCCTGCTGTTAAGTTGGCGTCACACAGCACTGCCCCTGTCGCCTAGAATTGGGTTGCTAACTGGCTAAGCTAAGCTAGCTTGCTTTGCTAACACCATCGCCAACATTTTAAAGATAAATTCAAGTATCCATGCATTTGTCTTTTGTTACATTTGTACAGTTTGCAATTACGTTTAAACAACGTACTGTTAATTAACAGTGTAATATTTGACTGTTCAGAAGTCTGCCATCTCATTTGAATTGGTGCCCAAAGAATTATGGGATAAATCGAGTTACGTGCCTTTGTAATTAGACATTAATGCAGCTTTCAAATGCAGCTTTCGAGGCTGCAGCTCCTGAATTGGGACCGTTAGCTCAGCGTTGTTGTTTTTTTTTGCCAAAGTCACATGATCAATCAGCTCCTTCTCCCTACCCCTTTAAAAGCCACAACTATCATAAATGTGACTTATCATGTTGTTCAAGTGGATGATTTAGAAAGGAAAAGAACTTACATCTTTACCAGCGTTCTGCAGATAGCTGATGGAGTATTTTTGGCTGTATTTGCAGCACTTACCTTTGTTGTCCTTAAATGTAAACACTTCTAATCAAAGGCTGTGCAGCTTTGATATTTTGAGCGACTGACTCTGCCAGGTTACCTTATTTGATGAGGTAAGGACTCTTTTCAGCACCTGGTTGGCGTCCTCTGTAATCCCATAATTGATCGATTAACACTGCTGGCTGTCTCTTTCAAAGTCAGAGTACACGTTGGTTGATCACATTCCCATTTGACTTTTTTTTTTTTTTTTAATCCAGCAGCTATCACCTGGTGTTGATTCTATTCAACTTCCATTTGTGGTGTTATTTAAGATTACATTAGATGTTGTTTCAGCATTTGTCTAACATAGTTTTTTTATGACAGTCAGTGGACTATGCTTCTTTGTTTTTAGAAATCCCCAATGTTAAATTAATGTAGAGAAAATGTGTAAGGTCATGCAAGTCATTTAGAAGCCAATGATATTGTCAGCACCTAACTTTGTTACCCATTTTTCTTGGTTTTGATCAATTTTTGCTGTCAAAACTGACTAGAAATATCCAGCTTATCTCGGAGGGAAAATACTTGAATATAAGACAAAGTGTCACTACTTGTTTACCTAATGTTTGTATTTTACTTTAACAATTTTTAAATTGAAAGGAAACATCAAAATGTAGAAGGTCTGCTCTGAAACCAGTTTTCAAGATGTTGCCAAAAAAAGAAGTCTTATATTCTGACATTTGTTCCTTTGAAATGGTACATCACTGATCTTAGTCAACATTTGTCATGCCCTAAACTTATTTTGCTCTCTCAAATTATAGTTTAAAAGATTGTCCATCTGTACTGTTTATTCTGTAAATGAGTATAGGTGTTGAAGCGTTCCTTAAATCTATGACGTATACTGCTGTTTCCGATACAACACTGCTAATGGACCGAAAAACTTCAAGGAAGTCTGGTCGGTTAAAGACAACTCCCAGTTGGTCGTGTTTCATGCATGCTCATATCAAACAAAGGCACTTCACCCCTTACAAATACTTGATTATCAGAAGAATTATTTAATCCAAATAATTTTTCTGTAAGGAAAAGGCTCGCTCGGACGAGGAAGTCTTCTGTCGTGGAATCTAAAAAAGAAAATCCTCCTCTCTTCCTCAGATTCCTTTCTGCAGACCAACTCCCAAACCAGAGTTCATGAGGTCCAGTTTCTCTTCGAGGAGGAGTTGGCATCTGTAGCGCTTGTCCTCAATTACAAGAATGATCCGGACCCCTCAAAGGCGTTTCTTTTCCAAGAAAACCCACAAACATGGCCAATATGTAATATGGCCCTTTATATGAGAGGAGCACTCTCGCTGTTGTCAGACCTCCTATTTTCATCCAGGGGTGTAATTTGCAGATATTGAGTTTTTTTAGCCTCTGCCTTCGACAAATCCTCCAGTTGTACCGAAAACTGCTATGTAGGGTCAGAGAAAAGCCATATTGCAGATGTAAAAAGAAAAGCAGCTGCTCCACGCTTTCTTCTCTTCATTTATCAACAAGTTTAATAAAACTGCAGGAATGACTAAGCTGACCTCATATGCTTGGTACAGCTAATAAATGAGCCCAGCAGCTTGCGATCATAACAGCAGTTCTGCTCTGAAGTGGTGCACTGCCAGACTCCTTTGGTAATTTATGCACATCTTCTACTGACACATTATTGGCCGAGCCGGCAGATGGTGGATTTGAGTGTGAGGGATGGACAGAACAGCTGTGGGTTTCCGCTACGGCATAGCCAAGTTTACTTTGTTCCTTTCCAAAGAGCAAGATCTTCAAAATGTCTCCACTGCCTGTTGGCGATGTCAACGCTGCAACCCTAAAAGTGGCAAATGTTGCTGTACACTTGTTAATGTCTTTCGGTAGGTCCATATTCATGAAATATCTCAATAAGTACTTGATGGATTTAGAGACCTTTGTACAGATGTTTATTTCACACAGCAGAGATATTCTCCTGAAGTTTACATTTTGGCCAAATATCTCCATCACCATTGGATCAGCTGCCATGACAAGTACGTGACATTTACATCCTTGATCAGACAAAGCACAGTGAAGTTGGTGGTTGGCTTGTAGTTGAATCAATTGTACTAACGTTCGTGTGACAAACCCCTGCCATTTTTTTCATGTTGCTGTTCTCATAAATTGGTTGTACAGCAGATGCTACAATTTCAGGCTGAAAGTTTTCCCTCTATTAAGCGCAAGCCAGTTTGTAGCAACCAATTAGCAGAAATTAGGTTTCATTGATCATGTGAAAATAGGAGGGAGTCTTGGCCCACAGGCGTGGGGACATGAATTTGAAGAACAACAGTACGTAGGAGGTTGTTGACACATGGTTTTCTTCTCTTGGGAAAATCAAACAAACAAACAGTTTGACACAAAAGAACTGAAATATTATTTTCTGTCTTATCTCCCTTGAGCAACCAGTTTACTTATTCAATGTTTTTCTAAATCTCTAGAAAACTATCAGATCTTTGCCAATATAAAAAAGCCTGCCACAATCCTATTGTGATTTGTTTAGAGCCAGGAGCCAGCGACCGATTTCAGATATAATTTTGTACTTAATTAAAAAACTAAGCATAACAAGTCAATCGCAGAAACACCTGTGACGTGCAGCCTTTTGTGCTCAGGTTTTTGAAAGCACTTTGTAAATCAAAAAGGGAGTCCAGTGCTATCTGAGCGTCTGTATTCTAATCATCATTGTAACTATACCGATGTTTGAAGGGTATAGTGACGAAAACTGAGGTTATGGTGCAACCTAAAGATGCATTTAGAGTTGTTTTGTTGGCTAAATTCAAAGTCATGGCTAGCGAGGGCATTCCTACGTATGTTCCCACATTTCTAACATTTTTTTTACACTGTGGATACACATAACATCACACTATAGACATCTTTTTTACGTATTTACAGGGAGGTGTTGTTGCAGCAGAACATGCACCGTGTGATAAATCTCAAATGTGGGAATATAGGACTGTCGGAACATAGGGTTGTGGGAACATAGGCATGGATCCATGGTTAGCTTAGGAGTAGAAAAGTTACTTTTTCTTGTAATGGCAGATCCAAAAATCTGATTTTATCTAGCATAGAAAGAAATCCCAGATCTTATTTGAAGTGGGAGATTTGACATCTGTTGCACCGCTGATATTTTTCAGATACTTTTATGGCATAAAAATTGTGAAACAGTTTAACTCATCTCCATTGGCCTCCACCAGATCAGATGTAGCACATTCACATAAGGTGATGATCACTGTAAACACAACACTAAATTTGAGTCAAAATGTCAGTAGAGAAGCTAGCATGGTGGTTCATCGTCTGCACTCTCAAAGATGGCGTATTGAAAAGAGGGGCCACATCAGTCCAGAGTGAGAACATGATGGAGCTTAAAAGTGGTCTGCGGGGTTAGGATGGTGCCTGTGGGGGCTTTGTGATTCAGAGTTTGAGTGAACAGATGAGAGCATAGATGTCCTGTGTGTGTTCAACATGTGTGTGCGGTAAATCCTGTGATGCTGTCAGCATGGTGACACAGAAGGAAACGCACACAGGGACTCAGAGCATGTTCTGATAGCTGAGGTTGGAACACCAGATCGCTGCATTGTGATGTGCAGATGTAATCATCCTTTGACACGCAAAGGGGATCCTTCTGTGGCATAAAGTGATTATATGCCGTGACTGGAATTTAGCGTATAGTTGCAGCTAAAACAGGTCATCTGCTCCACACATGGCACCTCGTGAAGATACTTTTTCAGGGGGGATGAAAAGAGAGGGATGCAGTTTTTGAACCAGGCTGGCTCTCTTGACTCAGAGCGTATACTTTGAAAAGAAACGGGGAGGGAGATTGAAAGATAGTTGAAAAGGAGTTGGAAAGGGAATTCTTTCAGTTAAATATTTAGGCTACTGCAGAGCGGGATGTAAGAAAGACAGGATGAAGAGGGAGATGAAAGGGACAGGCGTATCGCCATGTGCAGTGTGTTGTTTACCCTGTGGATAAATGCAAGCAGTGACTCAGCTTAAACCTGTTTGTGCCAAGCTGAAAGAAGCTGAAGCACAGCTGGGAACACAAACGGAGGGAATATAAACTCTTTTCAAGTGTGCTTCTGAAGAAATTTAAATAAATACGGGAAAGGAGCATTGCTGTGTGCATTGATTGTGCATTTTGCATTTAGATCATTTGTGTGTTTTTAAGGGTGCAACTACCACATTTTCTTAAACGGGATCGAGGTCATTTGTTTGTCTAGAAAATTTCGCCAAGGTTTTTATTTTAGCCTAAGGTGACATCATCTGTTTTTTTCAGACTGACAACAAAATCTTCAATTAACAACACAACAGGAAAAAAAAAAGAGCATGATAAAAACTTGTGAAACCATAGCAGATGGTGTGATGTTGTATAAAATACACAAAGTATTGTTATTTTATAATGTAAAATTAGTAGCTTAGACAATTGACTTAGGGATTAATCGCCTAATGGTTTCACCTCTCGATCAGAGAACAGCAAAGGTAGGATTAGACAGATTAAGTTACACAGAGCTATTTTGGTCTTGATGCAAACAAAAGCTTGTTGATATCCCCAGTGGTCAAACTTCACATCAACGTCAGAACTGTTATTGTGCTGTCAGCTCTTAATCTGTTTTTCTGATAAGTTCAAGTGCTGCATCTTGAACACGTGTTCATGATGGGAATTAATGAAGGAGGGCAGGCAGGGAGATGAAAATCCTCTGTTCATGCAGTCAGGAATGCATGAGCCACACAGGGTTCACCCTGCACCACAGACATGCTGTCTACTCATGTATTAATCATCATTAGGCCGAGATGAACCTCAAAAACCTTCATGTGTGCATGTTTTGGGTTTCCACTCTGTATATGGATACACTGGATTCTCGTAAACTTGATCACTACTGGCATGACTATTTCTGGCCTTTAATTGCGTGTGTGCCTGTTGTAGATCAGTAAAGTGTTTTTCACTTTGGCACACAGATGCAGACAACTAGTCTCCTCCCAAGGCTGAGAGCCCAGTGCGGGTCCAGTCTCTACACAGCAAGATTACAGAGTGGACTCCGATGGTACGTGAGCCGAGACGAGCAGGAGCTTCAACACAACAGCCCCGCCGTTGGCTTCAAATTGAACAACCTCTATGTCAAACCGAGCTAAACCCAGAGGCCACATCTAAATATTCTCTGTACTTTGGACCAGAATCTCTCTATCCAGCAGAAAAGCCTCAGCCCATTTACTTAGTTGAAAAGAGGGCTTCATCCTTCGCTGTGTGGTTCTGTTGAAATGGGCAGAAGGGTGCCAATTTAGTCCGTACATGTAATTGCATATGAGTGCATCTTTATGTGTTTACAAGAAAGAGAACAGAGCCAAGCAGGCCACAAGGTCTAACCAAGTCAAGGATGTAATGGACTATGTCTAAGAGAAGGAACTCTGAGTACCGTCTTGAGGTCACTGGGTTGGTAGAAAAATGAAGCAGCAACCAGTGCCTTCGCCCTCAGCCATGAAGAGCATTACTAAAAGTATCTAAGCCTGCACAAGTGAACATCACAGAGCTCTGATCTGGCTTGTCCCAGCGTGCTGAAAGACTTTAATCCCTTCGCCTCTTCTACACTAGCTGTAAATCCTCATCTCTTTTACATTAGAGGGATTCTGAAAGGCATGGATATTTCTGCAGGTCTAGCCTTAGCCCAGACTACCAATTTGGTGGAAGCTGTAAAATATAAATCTTTGCATACGCATTCATCTGAAACTCAAGGGTTTGGTTCACCAACCTCTCTCTGTCTTGCTCCAGTAGAGTGGTCAGGCAGTTGCTTTTATGGATTAAAGCCCTGTGGCTCCTCTCTTGCTCCTCTAGCTTGCGTAGAGTGCTGCTGTGGGAGCGAGATACCTCCAGGAAGTGCTCCAGCATTTGTTTTGATGAGTGCTTCTGGGCCTCCATGAGGTGATTGAGCTGAGTGAAAATAAAAAGCAACAGAGGTGGCTGTAAAAAGGACAATAGAAGTGTACTCGAACTCATATTATGGAAATACCCAAATAGTTTTGTAGCAGTCATGTGCCTCTAACAGCCTTGAGCCAGGGGTTCATCCTGAAAACTGATTGATTGGTGCTTGAAGACTGTTATGATAAGGAAAACAGCTACACCTTTGTTCTGATTGGTCCCAAGTCTGTGCTTGGATCAGCTGTGTTAAAAAGTGCTAGCAACAGACACTTTCAGCTGAATAGAAATATCCATCAGGGCTTTTATGGTCTCTTATGGGCTCCTACAGCTTCTTGGAGGATGTCTGTGATGTTCTGGTTAAATTGTTTTATAGTCACATGTAGGGCTGGGTGATAAACCGCAAATTTACTGATACCAAAATTTACGACAATAACCAACATCACTTTGCCCATATCGGTACATTCAGTGTCAAGAAAAATAAATAAATCAAAGTTGGTTTTGGATGTATGTAGGTAGGCTATGGTCTCATGACCCTTTAAGACGCTGTCCTACGTCACAGACGTGACTCCATCCCATCCAGTTCATCTGTTTATCGATATCAAGGTGAACTGCTCAATATATCGTGATATTGGTTTGAGGCCATATCGCCCAACCCTACTTGTTTTGCTCATCAGTCCCTTGTTATTAGAAGTCATCATTATTATTATTATTAGGTTATTCTGTAGGAGGAAACATCATGGCGGATGATGATACTTTTAAGGGGAGCTGCAGCAGTCACACTTATGTTTTCAGTTGTGACTTTGTACTCCTGGCAGTGGAGGAGCAACAGCATGACAGGCTGTCAACTTAACTGAACATCAAAAACCACAAAAGTTAATGTGATGGTAGTAGAGAACGGTGTTCGAAACAGAGGACATGGTGAGGTTAAATAAGTCCACTCTGGTTGTTTGGCTGCTCCAGCAATGACCCTCAGAAAAGTTGCCTTGAGCACTTAAAACCAGACTATCAAACGTTTTGAGGGGGGCAAGCATAGTGAACGTCCGGGGGCTTACCCCAGACCTAAAAACCACAAATCCCAAATCATATCTACTTTAACTTCCATATCTCACTCACTTACAAAATGTCTTCTATCCTACACATTTTTAACTTGTGTCTATGCACATGGTAGAAATATTTTTTATGGACATATCACAAACTTAATCCTCCTCCCTAAAGTCTCTGAGATACAGCCATTTTCTTATCACACTGCACTCTTCAGGCACAAAGGATGACTGTCTCCTGATATTACTGCTGACTACTTCCTTAAGTCTTTAGAAAGAATCTATACAAACACAGCAGTTATGTAGCAGTATTGAACAATTCAGCAGCAGACCCAAAGGCTTTGTTTCCAGCAAATCACAACAGTGGCTCTTCTTCTTCCTTCACCTTTGCTCTTTGGAATTATATCCGCCCAAATGGTTTTAGCTGAGCTTTTGACATTTAAGATTGTTGAGGCAAATTAATTGAGAAACTTGTCACTCAAAATGTTTGAGAGACCTTGCCATCAACAATCGTAAAAAAAGTTTTGCCCTGAAACTTGTTCTCTATGGAGGTTAAAACCACAAATCAGGAGGAAATCATCCTTCAATTAACAAGTTTGAAATCTATGCAGAAGCATAAACGCGGCACATGTAACACCTGTAAGGGCAAATAACAAATTTGTGCAATGAAGCAGCAGGAATGGATGCTCTGTTGTGAGACAGTAATGTATTCACCTCATTAAATTAGATTATCTGCTCCATCTGGTGTCTATTTTCTCACTATTGACTGTTAGTACCTCAGCAATTGGATTTTTGTACACATCCTGCAGGTGGTCCTGTTGGGCCTGGAGGGAGTCTCTCTGCAGGGCACGGAGCACCTTTTCTGGTCCACCAAAACCATATTGAGCCCCCAATCGAGCTGGATCTATGTTCTCAGATTTCAACACAGCGATTACTTCATCTCTGGCCTGGAGGGACAAACATTGCAGTTAAACAATTAAATGTAATTTGAAAACAGAGCTGAAGAGGTAATATATTTCCTCCATAATGATAATAATAAAGCAGTGTGGTAAACACTTAAAATAAGCTGTAAACAGACTGCCTCCAGTATCAAGATAAGCCTATGCAAGAGGCAGCTCAGCTCTCGACCCCCAAAAAACTGCACAAGATCCATTCCCGGTCTCAGTAAAGTCCGAAGCAGAGGTTTGATTTATATTGATGGGTTTTTTGTCGTCATAAACCTTTGACTCTTCTATTTGGGGGTAACTTTTGAGTCTGAATATTTTGAGTTTTAGTGGTGCTCAATTCCACTGACTAACAAATGCTGCGTATGAAAAAAGACAACTGACCTGTAGCTCTCCCTCCTGAATACTCAGCAGAAATAACAAGTCATCTCGGGACAGGTCCTCTCTTCTGCGTCTGCTGGTCCACCTCCTGTCTCGCATTTTGGCACTTGGTTTATCAACTTTTCAGCGTTTGAAGGCTGAGTGCGATAGAAGGGAGACTTATTGTCGTGTTTCTTTACTCCTGCTCGGCAGAAATCAATTTGGCCTCTTCCAAGTGGGTGCAGCACTGCTTTGAACCCGCCTAGAGGAACAAGAAATGATTGAAGGACAAGAGGAATAACACAGGACAGAAAAATAAATGGGTGCTTTGGACCAAAGAAGCCAAACTATTTGTCTTTGCAGGGCAAAGTGCTGATTGCTCGACTCAAGTAAAAGACAAGCTGATGCAGATTATATAAGCCTGTATCGGCTAATCCAAAATCAGAGGCCTCTTGTCATAACAGTTAGCATTACCGAAGCAGAAAGGCCTGCGGCTGGCATTACTCTGTGTGAGGCTTATGTCATCTCATATTCTTACTCTTAGCACATGTACAGAATCCACTGTGGTCCCGGTAGACAAAAGAGTTTCCTGAAAGTAAGACATTGATTACTGACCACATGAGAGCAAGATGTGTGTGTTGCAGGGCATGTATGAGCTCTTTGAATCACATCGGCTAAACAGTTCAGGCTAGCCAGATTATCTGACTTGTTTCTCCTCCCATATTCAGACCCAGAAAGCAAGCAGGTTCTTATTAGCGAGAGATGAGGTAACCTCTCTGCTCTTCGGCTCTGCCTCTCTGCTTCGAGCTCTCACAGTGGCCGGGAACGCCTTCTATTCCCTCATGTTGGTCAAGTTTCATAGGATAAGTAACTAAAGGCACTTGTGTTTCTCATTCTGTGGAAATTGTGATAAGCAATCAGGCAAACTATTAGCTGTTATGTCTCAAGGTCTTGTTAACTGCAGTTGTTTTAAGACTGTGATTAAGACCTCCTCAGAGCTTTTACTGCTGTTGTTAGAAACACTGTTACTAAACAGGAAAGAAAGCAGCAATACTTTCCCTCTTTCCCTCCTGCTCTGTGCACAGACAGGCAGCATCTGCTCGTTGTCATCAAGGCCTCCGAGCAACCTTGGGTGCCTCTAAACAAGATGAACACTGGTACATAAGAGTCAGACATTGCACAAGACAAGCACCAAACAGAAGGCAGCCCTGTAGCTTTTTCATACTGTAGCCGTTAACATGTTTGTGAGAGTGTTTGCTTCTATGATAGATGGTGTTTTCATTGACAGGAGCATTTTCTCTTGGCCCCTGTGTGGAAAGAGAGCGATAATGTCAACCTCCCTCCCATCCTCTTGATATGCTCTTTGTATAAATCAGGGAAAATGACGAACTGTCCCAGCTGTCTCTGTATTTCTTATCCCCACTTGTTTTTAACTGTAGACAGGAGTGATCGCTTTTATTTGGTCACCTTGAAGACTGTCTAACCAGTCAAATCATATGTGTATGAGTTTGATTCCCAAAATATCTCCTCTCTAAAATTAAAGTAATTACATCTTCAATTATTTTGTGTTCTTTGTCTTTAGAAGACCAGTTTCAAAGACAGAAAATGGTTGTGGGTTTACTGCCTGAAGCTTGAAATGGTTAAGCTTGGAATTAGTCAAGATGACGGTATGCAATGGAGTTTATGTTAGTCAGTGCTCATGTCTTCTGCGGTTGCTTGAGGCCTGTTTTCTTGAGAAAGGAGTATCGCCACTTCAGTCCTTTTTCCTTCGCTAGACCGTATCCATGGTTCCAAGTCTGACCATAACTGAGTACAGAACATTTGCTGGTTTTACTTGCAGACACCACAGTTAACGCAGTATCAGAGGCTGACACAAGTAATGGTTTTGAAACAACCTATTTGGAGTCGCACAATATCATCGGTACAATATTGATATTGGCAGATAAAAGTCTGAAAGGTTGACTTTTGCTGCTTTGAATAAAAATTTCCAGATGTATTTTTGCATGTATGTGCAGACAGCTAAAGTGTTATTTGTGGTGCTTATGACACTGTTAGTAGCTTTTATTTCAGTGAAGAAGCACTAAAGTGACCACCAAAAAGAAGAAAAGCTAAACAAGAAAATCATCAAGTTAATTGCTTTTGAAAAACCAACCTTTCAGCATAGTGGGAGATGATAGCTGCAGGGTAGTGTAAGTACATTATTATCCAGCAAAACAATTGTGCACTTGAATCAGAATCAGTATGGATATTGATGTCCGTATCAATACCAATATTGGCCACAGTAGGTTTAAAAACATCAGCATATCCAACATTGGCAAAAATCCAAGCTGTGCATTTTTTCTGCTTACAAAGACGATTGGTTGGGATTAGTGACTAAAGACTTCCCTTAAGATTAAATATATTGAGCCTTTATATAATGAGACATTCAACAGAACTGATGTGATTTGCTGTTCATATTTTCCGTCGTGATCAGGGGTCTGTTTTCTTTGAATGTGAGTGTTAAGCCAACCAGAGTTCATTTTCTTTGCCCATCCAGTGTTTCCATTTATATAAGCAGTCAAGCCATGACATGTGCTTCAGTGTCATTGGCCTTTAATTGACTAACAGTGATGAGGTCTGGACACCTAACAGACACACACTCATACACAAACGATAACATGAGTCAGACTGTTCTTTTTTTAGTGTGGTCATGGTGTCTAGACAAGCACATGCATACAGATGTCTCAGCACACTCCCACACCATGCCAGCATGTGAAAATGCCTCCAAACGTGAGTTCTGGCTTTGAGCCAGAGTCAGCCTCAATAATAGTTGCCAGGGCTGCCCCCGTGGGGACCCTCCTCTGGCAGGCAGGCTGGCAGCTGCACATGTGGCTGGCCGCCTCTGTTTATTTATCCAAACACCACCCAGGGCAGCCAGCATTCCTGCATCACTCCTGCCTAAAGGCTGCAGGCTGCCCCCAGAATAAACCAATAACACTTATTCTCATTTACTGCACTGCTTCCCAACCAAAACCTGGTCTACAGATGCACACAGGTGGCATCTAATACAAAAGAGTAAAGTCCTGGACTGGAACCAAGTCCAACTTTAGCCTGGCTATTGTTAGCTTGTTGTCGTTACAGCCTCTCACTCCTCATGCTCACTCTACCCCTCTGCTTTACTTACACACACACACACGCTCTTCCTGCTCATCTTTAATTCAACAGCTCTCCATTCTCTACCTGTAGCAGGACGGCCATGGCAAGTCCCTACTGAACACATTTTTCGAGATTTGCAACATCAGGCAGTACAACAAGTCAACAACAGTTTTTTTTGATAGACAGCATGTCTAGAGATTTCTCACTAAGCCTTGCGGACTATTATGAAATTATGATTTCTTCTCCTGTTTTAAATCTCTCGGGTTTTTGTTTCAGAGTAAGTAATTAATTGTCCATCAGTCAAACTTTTTGCAATTGTAATTGGCTTTCTGTCTCTTGTGTACTTAAATCTTTTGCTGACAACTGACCATGAAATGTGTCCTTAAAACTGAAAGAAAGACTGACTTTGAGACTGTTTCAAAAGAGGTAAACAAGTGACGTCAGCATTTTCTAATTTCCTCATCAGGAGGGAAGGACAAAGTTGTTTTCGTCAAGTACATCTTAAAGTGACTCTGTAAGTAATCGGGCCTTTGTCTTGTGTAATCTGGTGCCTAATTCAGTCACAAAGGGGATTGAGATACAATCCCATTTATACAATAGGATCAGTTAAAAAGGTGAGGAAGGTGAGACAAAGCCGTGGAGACAAACAAAGCTGGAACAGAAATGTTCACCTTCTTACCATTTAACTCATCAAGCTAAACCTTGGAAGTGTAGATAAATACAGTTAGTGATTGATGCCCACAGTCACAGTATTTTCCTGAGGTATATGATGACTGGTGCAGTGTCATATCATTGACTGAGATTACAAAAAACACTACCAAGATAAAAAAAAGAAAAAAACCTTGCTCTTAAGTAAAAGCTTAAGCAGGATGAACACATGTGCAACAGATGTCAGGTGTTCAGAGAGGACAGAGTTTTAGAATAGTTAAACACAAGGGACTTACACATGTGTGTGCAATCTGTTAGTTCTATCCAGGTACTGTTATTTGATTGGTGTGAAGGCATCCAATTGTTTCAAAGCACAAAGCTGGACTTTGGACTCTGAATATTACTCCACCTTGAGTCTGGTTTGTGCTTCTACATTGAAACTACCTCATGTGTCATAGGACTGCATAGCTCTGTACCTGAGCCCACATACACAGCCTGTGACTGGCCGGCAAGGTAGCATCATATCACTTCTTTTTGCAGTGACTGCTGTATGATCATCTGCCTCTCAACATTTATCAGCTCCACATCTCACACTTTATGTGTGGAGTCGCTGTGGTTTCTTGTATACAAACAAGCTAGAATGGAAACTGGCGATAGGACTAGGCTGGCGAACTAGATGGAGTATTGAAGAACAATACTGACGTAGGCCACTATCTAAAGTAAAGTAATTAATCATATATTTATTTATATTTATAATCATTTCTGAAATTACCAATATTCACATTGATGCAAGACTGACACGTTTAATATTGTGTAGGGCTGAAAAGATTCCTCGAATACCTTGAGTACCTCCATTACAAATAATGATCGAAGAATTTTCTCTTCCTGGAGTACCTGTTTATAAGCTCAAATCGTCACTGTTTCGCATGGATTCTTTTGAAGGTGACACAATGCGGTTACATCACCACGGTAGAAGGAGGAGCAAGCGCTGTTTAGGTTCTGCGGAGCGGAAAAAATAAATGATGAGAGGGGCTTGTCTTGCAGTGTTGCCAACCTAGTGACTTTCCTTACTGAGGAGTTGGCAACACTGTTTTCTTGTGCAGAGCTCCAGTAGCTCATTAGCACTTAACCTCTGAGTCTTGGGTTAAGATAGCGCTGCTCTGCACACTTCTCTTCACGCTAGCTTGTAGCCTAACATTGCTGGGGTCGTAGCAGAAGCAGGTCACATCAGAGCTATTCAGCTCTCGGACACTAATGTCTTTAGGGGCATGATGAAAGTTAATATCATAATTAGCTTTCTTACGAGCATTGCAATCCGCTAATGCACACGCGTGTTCCGCAATTGTCCTCTATTTCTCAGAGTCTGGCCTTCCTTGCGGGGCTATAAGAAATCTAACTTTATGTAATCGATAGAATATTCGGTAGAAAACTTGATTACTAAAATATTTGAGAGCTGCAGCTCTAATATTGTGGTTTATTATGCCTGAAACTGGTGCGATGGGGTAGGTATCAGCCAAGCAGCTGCAGAAATAGCTCTTTTTTTTAACCATGTTCAAATAAAGGAAAGTAATTAATGACACATTTGACCATAAAAAGCCAGCAGGATGAGATTCTTTATCATGAGACACTAATTAAGCATGTAGAGGACAAAGAGGCGCCAAAACTGACCCGGACTAAAAGTTACTTACAGGATCTTTAGTGACAAATAACATCATGTGTAAAAGACAGTGTAAGTGATCTGTGGTAAGGTTTACACTAGGTAACAGAGCAGGTAAATAATAATGTAATAGTAATACTCCCTCTTGTTTTATATTGATTAATAAAGAAAAAAATGCAGGCGTATCTGAACTAGTTTCACTGTCTTAAAGCTTCATTACTGTACTGAGCAGAGATAGAAGCGCAGTATTTTCAACCCCCTAAAGAGCAAATAACCTTACCTATGATCCCGAGGTTATTTCAATTTAAGAGCCCTTCACTCTTGTGCAACTTATATCTGCTTTATATGCACCTGTCATGGAAGGCTGGCTTATCCTGTCCCCTGCAGTCCTCTTTGGCCTCCAGTTTGGCTGATGTACGTCTTGGCTTCAGCACAGTGCTGCAGGCATGTTCTTAACTGAAAAATTATATCGCTATTATACCAGCAGTGAGAGAGGAGGAGATGTTGAACAGCCTATAAATGTATTCTGTCACCAGAAATGCTCGGTGCTTCGCTTGTTGGTCTTTATGATTATGAGCATGGTTAGGCTGAGCGTACTGCTAAATGCTTCATACTAATGACTTAAGCATAAACTCCCTTCACTGCAACTGTTATAATGACTCTCTCTAATGACTCTAGGCTGTGTTTAAAGTGAAAGGCTATTGCATTTTTATGGCCAGGGACTTAACCATAGTTTAGAGTAGATTGTCATCGTAGTTAAGCGTTGTGTTGCTAAATCTTACAGCAAGAATAAGTAAGTTTGTTATTAAAGATCATTTTGAAAAAACAGATTTGGTATCACAACCTTTTTTTTTTTATGTTCTCGCACATTAGTTTCTCGTGATTGGAAAAGTAAAAAATACAGCAGACTTCCTCTTGAAATAATGTTGTTTTTCAAATTTTGCAATGCATGTATTAAGGATGATCAATAAGCGTAGTTATTTTCCACCGTAGATATAATTCCCAGGTATTTCACAGTTGTTTTCTGATTCATACACCCAGCAGAAGATGTTTGAGTATGGCTCCTTTTCAACTTTTCCTGGAAATGAAAAGTTTTGAGCACTCGCTATGTATGTGCTCAAGGTTGACCTGAACTCTGGAAGTTGTAGTCAATGAAACGGTGATAATATTTTCATGATATTTCTAAAGTATTTTTTCTAACCCACTTTACATCCATTGATCTAAAACACTTGTAGCTGTATGCTGCCACATAGCTGACAGTCTTCAAGTGATTTTAAAAGTCAAGGTTTTTTTTCACTGTTGGTTATTGAACTCAAATGAAAAGGTGCAGCTGTGCCAAACAGTTTTAATAGCATGAGGTAATGCAGAACTGTGCTGTGATTTTTATATTACTGGCGTGGAATTAAACCCTTTCTGTTTTATCCATAAAACTTTGACAGAGCACATTATACTCACATCTTAATGAAATTTGAGTTTTCTTTCCAAAACAATATATTTGGTTGTTCTATTTTTTCCACTCGGCTCACCTTTCCTTGTTGTAGGTGGTCTGTCTTACATTCTAGTAACTAGGGTCTATAAATCACACTGTTACCATAGTTCTGCAAAGCCAGACAACGCCATTTGGTGGTCAGTGATGTAACGAAATGTGGTTGTTTTCCTATGATGTAAGCTTTGTCCACTGGATGTTGTTTTGTTGAGCAGGGCTTCTGTGAAAGAGATGACTGATGAAAATGTGAAATTCTACCGTTCGTTGTTGATTTTGTCTCCACTGATGTCTTTGCTTTAGGACAGACATGCACTGTTCACATTTAACCCCTGTCTGCTCACTCATATCCCATGCTTGTTTTCTCATGTAATGTATTAGAGCTGTAGTGATTGATAGAGAGTGAGAGATGTGTTGCAATTATCGCCCATATGATATCTACTATGTGGGGACTCAGTAAGGAGAGGAGAGGATGAGGAGATAAGGACTATAAGTGGTGTAAAGGGAGAGAAACTGAGCTGTAGGGAAAACAGTCAACTCTATGTAATAAATAAGCCGCTGAAGAGTAATCAGCCAACAATACTACTGAAGTGTCCACATTATATAAATTCAACATGCTGTCAAGGTAACATTGGAAAAGATTCTTCTTACGCTTAAAAGCTTTGTCTTGTTTATATAATCTCATCATGTCTCTGATTGGCACCATCTCTGCAACATGGTCTGGAGCTTCAATTAAAGTCCTCCAGCCAGGATTGACCGAGTCAATTGGATGAATGTTAGTTTCCAAGTGTAAGGCCTGTAATGGTCAGAGTTGTAAGGTTACTATTTGGAATTCAGAAACTTGGATTTCTTTCTCAAATTCCAGTCTCCATTGGTCCCAACCTCATTTCAAGGGATGAAAGAGGGACCTAGGAGGTAGCCCAAGAGAAGCACATTTTAAATACTGCATCAGCGGTTTAATAAAGAGCTGCAGATGTATTCAAAAGAGTGGACTAGAACTTAAAGGTGCAGTATGTAGTGTTTAGCAGGATTTAGCAGAACAGACTCAGTAGAAATAGAAAGCCTTGTAGTTTGAACATGTTTTTTGTTTCTTTTCCAACTTAAAATAAGTCTTTTATATCTACATAGATAGGAGCAAGTCCCCTTCCATGGAGGCCGCCGTCTTGAATCTCTATGTTTCTACAAGACCACACAAGGGACAAACTTCTAGTATATGCCTTTATGTTTTTAGTGAGTGGTTTTGCAAAATGTCCTTATTGAGGGACAAGGACAAGAGTGGATGTTCTGTGCTAGAAAACGTGCATTATTTAACATTTTTAGGGTGAAAAAAAAAATGGACAAATAGAGGGTCGTACTTGTCATTCTTTAAAGGAGCTTGTTGTCCTAAAAGGCCACTGACAATTCACCAATAGGAGGAGTGAGCAAAGGAGTGTTTCAATCAATCTGACCACGAGAAAAACGCCAACTGGTCAAATTTAACATTTAAGGTTTGAACTGTACAAAGCACAAATAAAACACAAATTACTTTTTACAGAATTGTCAGAGTAATTGATTTTAACACTTTGTAGTATGAGGCTGTCACATAAAAGCAAGTCTAGTCTATTTATGTTGCACCTCTTATTGTCACAGTTTAACTGTTCAAAAGCAAAGGAGACCAAAAGTGGCACCTCACTTTCCTCTTCAGCAACAAAAAGCTTTAACCAGTTTGTCAGTCTGGCAACTAATTTCTGTATAATTGAGATTCTTCTTTTTCTCCTGTAAAGCACTTTGTCTGGCCTGTCCTATAAAGGTGCTATATAAATAAATGTGACATTGACATTATCTTTACCATACAAATTCAGATAAGCTTTAGAGCTTTTACTCAAGTTGACCCTTGGTAAAGCTGAAACAAAGAGGAAGAACAGGTAGGATATGACAGTGCTGCACAAACCCAAAATCGTTGAATCCACCGTTACAAATGTAGGATCTTGAGTACTGTATAGTTTATGTTCCTGTAAAACAGTTGCAGGGAACCAAATCTGACCTTGAAGATTAAATTTGGTTTTATCAGGCTGAACTTTAGGTCAACTTGAGCTGTCTGCCTAAAATCAAAACTTTCAAGCTGTTGAACATCTGTTTCCAATGTAGGTAATAACTGAGTAACAGCTCATGTCTCTGATAAACATACCCTGTACATGAGGTAGTAAAGTGCACAGACTGAAAGCAATAAATAAACTTTTCATTTACTGATTAAAAGTTCATGAGTCAACAAAGGCAATGTAAATGGGAATCTGTTTTTTGGTGGTACAACCATATCCATTACACTGTAAACTTCATATGATTGTAAGAATCTGAGGTGGGTGATGGTTGATGGTCTTGCTCTGCACATATTACCCCTCCTGCTGGTGATATTCTGCATTACACGTGGCCAAATCTGAGCTATCAGCTATATGGATTATATGTATTGACAAAACAAAACAGGAACAAAAACAGATGCTGCTATTCGTCATGTTGCTCAATAGTTTACAAGTTAGTCAAGTTCAGACAATAAACAAACCCAAAGGTGTTGTCTACTACCAGAGAGTTTGAAACCATCCCCGTGTCCTATCCCGCCCCCCTCCATGCTTTAGACATCCCTCTACAGCCTGCTTGTTAATTTTGTGCGTGTAGCCTTAAGTCCCCATTGATTTAACAATAACACACACTCAGACCGTGGCTTTACAGAGGAGGCTGCCGGCCTCCAAAACCAATAACTGCTACATGCACCCACCTCCCTCCCCTGCATCTCCTTTCAAGATCAGGCAATGGCTCATGTCTTTGGATGAGTTATTGATTGTTTAAACAAGCGCTGCATTGATTTCATAGAAACGTGTGTATTGCTGTCATAGATGGAGGCCCACAGAAGAAATACTGAACAGAATCACGTCCATATGCTGCATAATGGCACATTAGAAGGTTTGCAAATGAAAAAGTCTGATTGTGTTGCCTCATCCCTAAAGTGGTTTCTTTAATCAGACTAATAGAGTAAACTGAGCTGGTAATTTAAGGCTTTCCTGAGGTCACGGCTGACACGGTTTGATGTGGTTGTATGGTGGTGCCACTTCACCTTGAAACGTATAACTAGATTTGAACGGTTCTTATCTGGAACTGAAACAATCAACCGTTTCCTTAAATCAGTCAACTGATCCTAAATACATCCAGTCAGCACCATCCATCGATCATCCATTATAGCCAGTCACCTCTATTGATTACCTATTAAAGGTGACCACGTGGCCCCCTTTCCCTACATCTGATCCCTCTCATAGAGGTCTGCTGTCATTGATCTGTGGTTATTTGAACTGTGAGCTCATCCTCCTGCATGCATCTGGAAAGCAGCTCCTGTCTTTCTGCAGACTCCACCATATGGTGTGTCTGCAGCACGGGGTCAAAGTGGACACACAACTGCATTACACTTAGCTTCATTTCACCTCTATTTTTCTAGGAGGCCTCTTGTGATCTTATATGAACTGGATTCATTTACAAGTCTAATATTCTTTGATTCACATTATTCAGTCAGCGGGTCTCACACTCTGTAAATGATCTAAAGTCTATTAGTGATTCATATCCTACTTTAAAGAGAGTATATTCATTTGCCTTTGGTATCAACTTGTTAATGCAAAATTATGCAAATACTATTACAAAGAACTGAATACAGATTTTGTTGCCCTTTCACTTTACTAATACATTCACAATGTGACACTATCATTATCATGCAATTTAAAGAGATATACACTCACGGACACTTTGTAAATTACTCCTGTTAAAAGCATGTAGACGTGATCAAGAAGACTTGCTTGTTGGTGCCAGACGGGCTGGTCTGAGTATTTCAGAAACTGCTGATCTGCTGAGATATTTTTACAGAGAATGGTCAGAAAAAGAGAAAATATCCAGTGCGCAGCAGTTGTGTGGTCGAAAATGATGATAGATTTCTGTCAAAGACTTTTAACCTACAGCACCCAACACTGTTATCAGGATATTCATGTCCTTTAATGGAAACAGTTTGTCCTGATAGGGTTTGGAAATTTGAAGAGACAATTCCAAAGATATCTTCAATCCTTACAAACACATTTTGATTTATTTTCTGTTTTATTTTGCCACACATCTATTGTTGGGTACTATGGTTAGTTGTTCTATTCCAGTGTCAATAAATTCAACCCTAAAGATGGATTACACAGTAGGGTTGATTATCACCTCTGATTGCCTGATTGATTCATTTGCGATTCACTGGGTTGATCTCCAATTATATTCTATTCCATTCATATCGATTTGTGTTGGTATATTTTAGTTACAACGTTGTTGATTGTAAGGGGAATTATTACGACCAGTGTTAAAGTTCGAGGTAAGCTTTGACCCTCGAAAAGTTACATAAATGTTCTTTGTTTTTACTGTGATCACTTTTACACCACAGTTGTAAAATTAATTAGTTTTAGAACCATGAACACTGATTTGATGAGGCGGCTTTATACTGCATGTAATCTCTCCCCTGAAACACATAATACTATATACTGTGCTGGACTTTTGGCTGTACACATGCATTCCTGCATTCACTATATTGTTGCCTGGCCAGACTCCCCACCTCTTTACTTAAGAGGCGAAAATATATTGCAGAAACATAAAACCTGGACAAACAGTTAAAGTGCAGTGCAAATGAAAACTGTTAAAGCTCCTCGTGTCAGTTCCTTTGAGTTTCTCTAGTGCCATCATCATTAACTGATGATGTTACACTGATGCATTATGTACTGATGTTCTGCTCATTTGGGTCTACATCAGAAAGAAACATGGACTTGATTACTTGCATAGGTTGTCAGACTTTTGGCATAAAACCACATTTACTGAGTGTTTTATGTCTCATTTCAAAGCCTCATAACAGTTCAGGTAGGCACATCATCCTCAGTTTAGTGTGCATGCCATTAGACGTGCATTCTGTGTATAATAAATCAGGGGTATGTGCCTCTCCATATGAATTTTTAAACCCTTTTTATAACATCAGATGCTAATTACAGACAGATTGCCTGTGCAGATTGGGTGACTTTTCATAAATTGGGCCCTTAGGCTCCTGTAACTTTAGAGCTCCTCCAATAAATGTTGTGTTTAGACAGCTTTTACAAAGATGGAGACAAGAGCTGATTATCATGCACTGAAACTATAGGCACTGTGCTTTTGCTCTGTTTCCACCTTTCCTGATACTATCCTGTCAAGTCAGCAGTTTGTTTAATGGGTTGATTAAAACCCAATATAAAAAAAAGAAAACTTTAAAAATAATGATAATAATGTCTTTTTCAATTTGAGAAGGTTTTTTGGGGTTATTGGCTCAGCTTTATAGGTAGAGGTCATGACCAAGTGGCCAATGTATAGTGCCAATAAGCAGACATAAAATAAGACATTTAATTTTGCCAAAAAGAATCAAATATTTCTATTTTTGATATTCACATTCAGTAATGTTTCTGCTGTCTGTTCCGAATACTTCAAACACTTCTACACAGCCGACATGTTTGCATGGATAAGCTGTCGCCATGTGCAGTTGATGGGTTACCATTCTGTCGTCTAATTATAACTTCAGATTTGTGGTATCAATTGTTAATTTTTAAGCTTTTATCTGCAGATGTTTGATAAACTCAGGAAAATCTCATTTATTAATATTCTGTATCTAAGTGTTAAAAACATCACCTAATAGTAATTGGGTTTGAAACAGCTCTCTTGTGTAAACTCTGAACTTTTGATGGAGTTGTAGTATTCAGTTTTGGCACATTGTATACCTTTATTTTTTGGGGCTGAAAGTTATATGCTGTATCATTCAAAGGGTTATGAGAAAATGTTGAAATTATTGTAGACTCCAAGCACAAGCATCCTCCATCATATCAAGCAGATGCTAAATCAGCAGTGTCTCACCTCTACAGGGTCTCGTAATGAGTCTTTGACTGGTGTATCAGGTCACAGCTGAGATTGGAAATAAGCCTGAGGCTTAACCTCAGTTTTGCTGCCCTGTCAGCAGCTTTACTCGTCTAAAGGTTTGGTTAACGTGAACACACAGGTTTATTGTAGATTATTTTCATGGCTCATTGAGCACAAAACAGCAAAGTCCGGTGATTGAATTCTATGTTGTCAATAACTTGGAAAGATCTTGTATCTTTCCATTGCCGTTAAAACTGTGAATCAAAAAAAAGATTTGCTCCAAGCCTTTTACTTTTGTTGAAATTAAAAAAAACTGTCACTTGTGAAATATTTTCAAATTGACTACAGTCTGTGTAATCCTTTCATACTAAAAGCTGGATCTATGATGACCTTCACAACTTCAGACACAGACCAGAGTAATAATATCCTATTGAATATGCTCAATGATCCTCAGTAAACAAAACAATAACCTGCTGATAAAAACCAAAACACCTAGAGTTTGAAAAATAGGGCTGCAACCACACATAAATCTATTGTTCGAGGTGTTGCTTATTGACTGGAGGTGTGAGTACGATTTTTAGAAAAATATTGAACATTTTTATTTTTTCCACCATCCGAAGTGTGAATGTCTTTTCCTTTGGCACACATAACTAACAAATAAACAGAAAACATTGGGCAGATAAGTGCAGAATAAAGATAGTTGTCTAACACTCACCTGCTGGTGCACAGCTGGGCCTGAACCACTCACTGTCTCTTCATAGACTTTTCATTATAATCCATTTTATATGAAGTCCTCCTCACCTCTTATTTCTCTTTCTTCAGTGTATCTTTGCTTTTCTTCCAGCAGCCCAGCAGGCAAGTGAGAGAGGGATGAGTACAAGAAGAGAGAAAGAGGAAAGGATATATACTCTGGCAGATCAATAGTGGGGTTGGTCTTTCCGCTGAAAGATTGTGTGCCCGGACAGATGACTGTAACAGATAAGGATGATGGTCATAAATTGATGGATGGATGGAGAGGAAAGTAGGTGTGGTTGAGGAGTAAGGAGAAAAAGACTCACTAGCTAACAATGGAGAGCTAACTGTTGCTGTACCAGATGTGTGACCAATCTTACTGCCTTGGTTTGATGCCCATCCCTAATAATAATAGCTGTGTTGAGTTAGAAATTAATGTTTCAAACCAACTGTAAGAAGTGTCTGACTGGTTATGACACTGAAATAAACAAGTGCTAAGTCTCTGAAATGTAGAAAAGCCAATAAGAACAAATATTACAAGACTGTCAATTTCTTCTCTGTGATTGTTAAGACCTTTATTACATTTTCCAACAGCAAATATTTACAGTAAGTGATGCATTTCACTTTGAAAAGACATCTTGACACCCTTTTCACAAGTGCAAGATGATTGTCAACAGTGGGTGTCAAAATCAACCCAGACAGAAAGTTCCTTACGGGAAAATGTTGTTACCTGTCAGCTGTCTGCTTACCTGTTAGGTGTGAATTTGTCAGTTCTGCGTCATATTAAAACTTTTATGCATTCTAACCTTCCTCCCCTTTTCAAAAGTATCTCAATGTTCACCCTATTGTTTACCCTTCTGGTCATGGAGCTTCTAGAGAAATGCCAAGGCTTTTGAGATCAGGTAGAGCTGGTTACTGGTGTACTTGGTGAACCAGGTGTACCAGGTCTCACAGCTGGTAACCAGGTGGGCTAACACTGGTGACTGGAAGTGAGTACTTTCTCTGGATGAAGAGAACAGACCTTTCCAGACTGGAATAGAAACTTTAAAGGAGTATCTAGTTTTTTTGTTAATTTCTGGTCATGGAGCTTATAGAGAAATGCCAAGGCTTTTTAGATCAGGTAGACTTGGTTCCTGGTATACTTGGTGGACCAGGTGTACCAGGTCTCACAGCTGGCAACCAGAGTGGCAGACACTGGTGCCAAGAAGTGAGTACTTTCTCTGGTTAAAGAGAGCAGACCTTTCCAGACAGGAATAGAAATATCTGGTGACTGCTGCATTGTTGTCAGAGAAGCAAGTACTTTTACAAAGCAAGTTTCCTTGATATATGACGATATTAAGGTCATTATTCAGTGGATATCTTACATATTGCTCTTTCATTTTGTCCTTTTTTGATACATTCCTGTAACTATGGCTAAGGCCAGTTTCAGGCGTATACATGACAGAGAAAATAGATCCTCCAACTGCATTAACCAGTCGTAGTCGTAGGTCAAGACACTTGACATGAAACTGCCTCTGGCGGCGGTTCCTGCAGTGCGTGAATGAGATTGGTCAACACTGATGAGCGACCTCTGCCATCAGTGAACTGATGTGGATGAATGTGACATGTAACGTAAAAGCACATAGAGTGGTTAGAAGACTGGAGAAAAGAGCTCTATAAACACAGTCCATTAAGGAAGTCAAAGCATTTGCTACTCACTGGTGCTTAATGATACAAAGCTATCTGTTTAAAGCTATTGATTGGGTTTTGGCAGGAAGTACTGCATGCTCAAAAATCCATCTATTACAGACAGGCTGAAGAAGATTTCCTGAAATCGCCTTTCATTAAGTATAGAGACATCTCCAAACTTAAACTAAAGCTCATATAGATGCTTATGACATATCTAAGCCTTGTCCACTTAATAAGAATAAGAGATGATGTCAGCTTGTCTGTTCTTTGTTACTAAAGGTCCACAGGGAGAATTACCAAGCAAAAGTACAGGCATTAAAAAGTACATATTCAGGAAGGACACTGCAGTGAAAGCCACAGATTTATTACTCTCTTCTATCTGGCATCTGTTTTAAAGTATTTTGAACAAGCATGTATATATGCCAGAGGGTCTGAGCATGACCTCATAGCATGAGATGAGAGGTATGCACGGAGAAGTGGTAGCAACAGAGAGGCTAAATATAACCAGATGCTTGGATTGAGCTTTGCTGCATTGTTGTTATCTCAGAGATGGTTTGTGTGTTTCTGCTTTTTCTGTTCTGTCCTAAATACTTCGCTGTGTAAATGCCAAATCTGGAGTTTAGATGCCAAACGTTGGAAACAGAATTTCACTGTATAAACTTGTATCCATGGAGAGAGTGTTTGTTTTCTAGGATGGAGGTTAGGCATGTCTTTTAGAAGCAAAAGCCAAACTTTGCAAACCTCAAATGTCTTCTTCATGTTGCCTTATCCTATTTTTTTATATTGCCCCATTTCCTGGTTTCTAGTCAATAAATTAAGGAAGATTTTTCTGTCTTTTTTGCAGATGCATCCGAAGTGGAAGAAGTGGAACATCAAGAGAAGCAGCCAACAGAAAAAGCAGACGTAAAGACAAAAGCAAAGAAGAGGAAGACAGAGACGGAGGAGAAAACAGTAAAAGCAAAGAAGAAGAAAAAGAATGAACAGGTACCATGTTGTGGAACATTTCAAGTTTTAGAGTTTATGATAGACTTAATCAGAGATCTCTGCCAGGATGATCAAAAGGTTGTAAAATTATGTAAGTTATGGTCTAACTGTCATGATGTGTGTTATTGGAAGATAAGTAGTCAAGTAAGTGTTGGATTTGACAAAGTTCTGTTTTTTCAAGTCCAGAAAAAGTCCTTCTTCTTCTCGCTGATGGACAGAAAACTTTCCCAACTCAGCCGGGCCTCTTTTCATACAAATTGATGTATAATTTTTAACCGGGATAGAATTAAAAACATACAGTCACTTAGTCAATCAGACTTTATTCATAAAGGATTTAACCACATTGTAACACATAAGTGCTGTACACAGACAAAAATAGATCAAATCAAAAAGGTTCACAAAAACAGAGACCGAGGCGTAGCACATAAAAGCGTAGGGCCTAAAACTTAATCCCTGGAGAACACCGTCATTCATTTTATACTCTCTAGCTGAGCATTTAACCATACTGACTTTAAATTAGTTAAACAGCATTCAAACCTGTGCAAAATTGTGCCAATCGTGCTAATTATACCAATGTGTGTATAAATTTTAACCTTGATAAAATGTAAACAAATGCATTATGACAATAAATTGCCCAATACACTGTGTAGAAACTAATTAATAAGCTTTAAACCTGAACAGTTGTTTGACCCATGACAGAAACATTTATATTTTTTAATTGGGCTTAAAGGGGACGACTTAAAGTGGGGACTCAATGACCTACAAGTGCTTTTGCATTTTTGCTTAATGCTACAAGACTGAAGGTGGATATTTGATCAAACTGCAGGATACTTACAAAATCTTCATCGGTGCTTCCAAAAACCTGAAATAAAGTCCTAAAATGTTGTCTTGCGTTCACAATGCCATGTTATTCAGATTACTGCAACACTGAGCTCAGGAAATGAGAAAATATTTGTGTTTAAAAAATTAGACATATTCATCTTTTCTATCATGACATGACCATCATTGGTTATTAAAATCCTCAGAAATATGTTGCACACCCAGACCAAGCATGTCTTAAATTTCCGCCTATCACTGTTGATCTCCTGTTCTTACAGCATGTACATGGAATTTTGGATATGTTGTTAAAAAATACTCAATTGTTGGTAATCAGTACACAGATTTCATTTTTAATTAGATAGTTTTTTATTCCTTATCACTAATACAAAATCACAAACCTCGTTTTTACAGAAAGAGAGCATCACTCCTCAGAAGAAAAAAGAGCCTGACGATGAAAAGGCCCCCAAAGCCAAAAGAAAGAGAAAGGTGAGTGTGCTGACACCTGCTGGTGCAAAATGGAACGACAGTCATTAGGCTTTTTTAATGAGCGTTAACTCCTCATGACTTAACTGTGTTTATCAGAAGAAGAAGACCATCACAGATGTCCTGTCCTCCTCTGAGCCAAAGCCAGGCTGTCCTGCAGACCTGCAGAGCCTGATCACACAGTATTTTTCAGACAAACGCTCAGTGATCGAGCAGGAGGAGCTCAAACTGCCCGGTGAGCGGCCTTTACCTTTTTAAGCTCTGTCAATATTGGCTGATCTGTTGATTCATGGAGGTCACCGTCTGCCCTCTATCACCCTCCAGACTCCTGCTTCCTGTCCAGCAATGACCTAACACACAGCCTCTCCTCCTATCTGAAACAAGGTGAGTGAAGATCAGACTTCAAATTTCATCTTCGCTGTTTACTCTTGGACACACTCCTCACTTTGATTCCTCTTACTTTCTTTTTTCCTCTTATTCGTAGTTTGTCCCAAGTGGGCAAAGATTCAAAAGCAGCACACAGAAAAGAGTTCTGTGGTTCTGCTTATCGTTTGTAGCTCTGCCCTGCGAACCATTGAGCTCATCAAGTAGGTGACACACAAGGACGACGTTAGTTAATTTTCCTCTATCCTAACTTTTTAATTATTTTTACTTGAGTGCTTTTTGTTTCTTGTTATCTTCAGGCAGCTGACAACCTTCAAGGGCGAAGCCAAAGCACTAAAACTTTTTGCAAAACATATCAAGGTATTTGAGATGTCAGTGCCTCCTTTCAGCACAATATACTTGTACACAGTCTTGAATTTAAACAGATCTGTACCTCTTATTTTCTGTACAGGTGGAGGAGCAGGTGAAGCTGCTGCAGAAAGGAGTCACACACATCGGAGTTGGGACACCTGGTAGGATTAGCGCTCTTATTGAGAAAGGTAAACAAGGACACAATACGCCCAACATTTGACTCTCGAGGATTTGAAGTCTTATTGTTCAGTGTCAACTCTTTTTTATTTTCCTGCAGAGGCTTTAAACCTGCATGTGCTAAAATATTTGGTTCTGGACTGGAACTGGAGGGACCAGAAGCTCCGGAGGATGGTTGACATTCCTGAGGTGAGATACTGCCCCCTGCTGGGCTGAATAAGCATTTGCGCTCTTCACATTTGGTATCTTCTGGAACGTTCAGGGTCCTTTTCTTCCTAAAAGGTTCTTCTACTGTGATGTGTGACTGTGTCTGCACAGATGTTATATACTGCACAGTCAAAGTAAAGTATGCAGCCTGTGCTCAAAACTGAAAATAAACTTCAGTCAATTAGTTTTACTTTTGTGACGCACAACCATATCTTCCTCATTGTTTTATCAAGGGTGAATGTGTAGAGAAGCAGATAAGTCAAGGATATTCAAAAAATATAATTTGTTGGTAAAATTGGACAGTTTTCAAAGCTGCTAATTTAAATCCTAACTAACCGACTGGTATAAGGGTACAGCAAATAGACATTTGAAGGGATATTCCGGCGTAATATTAATTTAGGCTCAAACACACCGTAACACTAAGTTAGACACCCCCTCGAGAGATGAATGTTGCCGACTGCTTGCTTCTCTAATTGTACCAACTTTAGTAATGACCACAGGATAGCAATACGCAGTGGTCTGAGGAGCCATAAACAAACCTCAACCAAAACGCCACTCTATAGCCACAAATAATGCTCAGAACAGAACCTAACTTCATCAACAGTACATATAGGGTCCCAGCCACAACGCTAGCTACCAAACATCTTTTTAGCTCTGCCTGATTTTTTTAGCAAAGAGACTAGATTGAACTCACCTACTCTCTTCCAGCAGCCGCTTGTTTATAGCGAGACCTCAGGCCAGTCCATTACAGCCTACAGCGGGGTGACGCAGCTCAAGGAAGAACATTTATGATCATTACTCAATGGAGATGCAATCAGATTGATACTGCGTCTGCAGTGCAAAATGATTAATATGGTGATTATTACTTTAAGGAAATGTCAAAATGATCATCAATGTTCTTCCTCGAGCTGTGTCCCCCCCCCGTGGCAGTCTGTAATGGACTGGCCTGAGGTCTCGCTACAAACAAGCAGCTGCTGGAGGAGAGAAGGTGAGTTGTGTTTAGTCTCTTTGCTAAAGAAATTGGGCAAAGTTAAAAAGATGTTTGGTGGCTAGTGCTGTGGCTGGGACCCTTTATGTACTGTTGATGAAGTTAGGTGCTGTTCTGAGCATTACTTGTGGCTATACAGTGGCGTTTTGGTTGAGGTTTGTTGATGGCTCCTCAGACCGCTGTGTATTGCTATCCTGGGTTCGTTACTTAAGTTGGTATGACTAGAGAAGCAAGCAGTCAGCAACATTCATCTCTCGAGGGGCTGTCTAAATCGGTGTTACGGTGTTTGACCCTAACTTAATTTTACGCCGGAATATCCTTTTAACTCTTCAGCACTCATATTCTAGATTGCAGTACTCTGTTGCTCACCCCTCATGTTAGAAAGCTATGGTGGCCTTAGAGGACATGAAGCTCCTGTAATGCTGTATAAGTGGAACCCCCATTTGTACAGTTTTGACAACATAAAACCTTGAATTCTCGACCACTCTTCATCTTCGTCTTCCAACCATCACATTTTCCATGGCTGCATAATTAAATACAGAAGCACTTGTTTTCATATTGTCTATTGTGAGTCATGTCTTTTGTGAGTGACCACTATTCACCATCTATAATTGTCCTTTTCAGATCAAACTGGACTTCATGAAGCTGCTGGAGAGCGGGATCCTGAGTGGATGCAAAGACAGCAGCGTTAAAATCGGACTGTTTTAACAGCTTTTAGAGACTGTGGAAAGCACAGTGGCTTGACACTTAAAGCCACAAACTGATGGTCGTCTCTTCATGCTGGAGGGGCCTCTTCCTGTTTGTTTCCCCTTTGTGTCGGTGTTAAACCTGCACCTCGCTTTCTACTATTTTCAGAGTCTGTGTCAAATGCGCGGTGTTGTTTGTCTACTCTTGTAGCCTGATGCGATGTCCCGGTGTGATGGATTGAATAAACAGACTCAGAACAAAACCAGCATCCCTGTGTTTGTTTAGTCCGACCATAGGAAGTCCCTCCTACTGAGAAATGTGAGGTCATGAGTTTACTTGCCCACTAGGAAGTCCCATTTATCATAACATCCTTTTGATAGAGTGTTTAAAAGCAGTATGAAGGAGGCTCAAAACCACAAAATCTTCCACCACAGCAAACAAGAATAAATATTTAAAATCTACTTTAGTGTTATTTAGATTTTGGTAAACAAATGTGTGTTTTTCCTGTACGAGTTAAGAACAAAACATAACCACCAAGACAAATGGAGGCAACAGAAAGCAGAAAGAGGTAGTTAAGTAAAGGATTGTGGTTAATAAGTAACAGACCACAACAGCCTTCTCCGCACTGCAAGGCCTGCTGGGAAAATCTCTTGGCAAGCAGAGTGTTGTGTGTCCGTGTGCGCGTGCAGAGAGATATTGCTGAAGTCAAAAACAGGAAGAGAAGCTCGAGCGGCACATACTCTGACACTCTTCACCTCTCTGGTCGTCACAGTTCTGTCTTCAGCAGAGGTTTGTGTCTCATGGGCAAAGTGAAGGAAAAGCCGGGGCCCTTGGCTCGGAGGCCCGACAACTCTGCCTTCAAACAGCAGAGGCTGCCCGCCTGGTCTCCCATGCTAACAGCTAACACTGTCCTGCCCTTCTTCTACTTAATGGCTCTGATATGTTTGCTGCTGGGAGTGTGGCTGCTTCTGACAGTGCAGAGCACACATGAAATAAAGGTGAGTGTGTTTCTGGACATTTCTTTTTTATTATTATTTCAGTTTATGTGAAATATTGTGATGGAATAAACAAAGTATTCACATGTGTGAGGGAGACAGAGTGAGGAAGTTGCCAAATACCCTTGTGTGCAATAAAAAAAGGGAGTGACAAAGCGAGGAAAGATCCAAGGTTATGTTTGGAGTTAGGTAAACAGGAAAAGTTTTTCTTTCTTTTTTTTTTAATTCATACTCTTCCTTCATCAACTCTCTCTCTTGTCCTCGCAGAAGGACTACACAGACTTGGGGACATGTCAACTATGCCATGAAATGCGTAAAGATGTTAGCAACGCTAACAAACCGTGCAGCTGCAGAGTAGATATTCCTGTTGAGAAAGCTCTCAAGGTAACTGCCTCCAAGTTCATCCACATAGTTTGCCAAAGTCAATCATATGGTGTCAGTGAGTCAAGGTGAACCAATGTTTAAACATCTCCAAAATGTTGATGATATTTTTTCTGCTTCATCCATCCAGGGAGATGTCTTCATCTACTACGGCCTTCGAAACTTCCATCAGAACCTTCGTAGATACATGGACTCCAGAGATGATGGACAGATGCTTGGCCGGCAAAACAAATTAAAGGTAGCTCCTGATGTTTTCCAGTCATTTATGGCAGCTGGAATACTGATTTAAGCTTAAAGGAGATACCAACACAGCTGCAATTACATATCCGACATTATTTTGTGATTAAAATACCACGATAATAGAGCCCAGTTGTGGCCACATAGTTTAAATCTCAAACTATGTTGGTCGACTGACGCAGGTAAATGAAGAACAGTCAAAGGTTTTATTCACAGTGATGGTGATGTGATGATTTACAGTGCACCTGGGTATCATCATGACTTATTATGCAAATTAAAAAGTCATACCTACGCAGCAGATGAAGCCATCAGTTTAAAAAGAGACCGTAAAACTGAGGCTGTCAGCAGAAACACCGTCACGGCAGTGCCGTGAAATAAAAGTTTGTCTTTGTGTGCTATTTTGTCCCTTTGAGCAGACCATAGTTCAGCCACTGTCGTGTTTTCCTGCTTCCTGCTGCTGCCATCTTTGGAAATAACACCTCTGCACACTTGAAGAATAAACGTCCACATGATTGTGTTGACTTCGTGTCATACAGAACACAAGCTTCACCAAAGAGGGCCTGTTTCAGGTTTCAGCCACCTCCTTTGTGTGAAGCATACAGGTGTCAGCTAAGAATCACTTTGGAGTGTACCAATAGAAACACTTTGAGGTTGTCCTACCGCCAAGTCATGTTTCATACCACATCGGTGTAGCACTGCAGCATTTTTTTTAACAGTAAGTTGTGATCAGAAGGCACATTGCAGTACATTCATAGGCGTCACTTTGGGTTATTAACAAAGACTGAAAAAACTCTTAAATGATAAAAAGAACTTTAAACGTGGTGAGAAATATTCTTATACTCAGTTTACTATTGAAATGCAGTGATTAATTATGACTTTGAAAACTGAATGTCTTGACAGCCCTTAATTATATGTGGAACTATCTCTGATTGCAACAAAGGACACGTCTAATTATTAAAGGTGATGATATCAGTCACACCTAAACACAGCAGAGTTGTATGATTAAAGAGATTAAGGGCCTAGCCAACAAAATTATAGATACCTAATGACAGATTTAGGGAATTAAAGATGAAAAATATTTATAAATAAAATGTGAAAATTTCATCTCATTGTTACTGCTAGATAAATCGACAGTCTTTTCATTTAAGTACCTAAAATCTATATTTAAATGCTTAATCTTGAATTGACTCAGCATTAATCCTAAATAAGAGGGTTTTCAATAACAAGATCTGTATCTGTACAGAAATACGTATCTGTATGTGTTATAGCCTAGACTTTGACTTTGACTTGATTTCACTGATAAAGAACCAAAATCCCATTATCTTATCTTGTGTGTTTTGATAAAACCCTTTATGATCTTCTCTTTAAACACGGCTATCACGAAACATCAGTGAGCGGATTCTATTTAGATGCTGAGTGAGTTAAAGTTTTTGCTTAAAGATCCTGCTAGGAGTTTTTTCAAGTTTAAATAATCAACTGAATTCATATTGATGCCTTTTTACGGGGCACAAATGCAAATAAGACCATCAGCAGCAGAACTGATGATTTTCATATTGTAGTTTTTAGGGCCTCAAAGCAGTGTGAGGGATCAGGTGTCAGTGTACAGCTGAAGAAAGAGACGTTTTTTCCAGTTTCAGTGTAAAATTGGACGATATATTTTTTACACAATCTAAACGTTCCTCACTGGAGCTTTATTAATTCACTTCCACCCCTGAAACTGTTTCACATTGTTAATCATCAAAAATAACCTATCTCAGTTTCTCTTTTGATCTTGTCCGACCAGGATCCCAGTACATACTGTATGCCCTTCAGGAAGGACAAGGATGGACGTCCCATCGCCCCCTGTGGTGCTGTGGCCAACAGTATGTTTAATGGTGAGAACCAGACCAGATCAGATCATCCTCATCAATTTTTTTCTTTTGCTGAACTCACATCTTCCTGTCCCACAGACACCTTCATACTGAAATATCATGGCCGCAGTGGTCCCGAAGTAGTTCCTTTGCTACGAACGGGCATCACATGGTACACTGACAAAAATGTCAAGTACCGCAATCCAAAGACGCAAGAAAACTTCACACTGGCTCAAGAGTTTAACGGTGAAAAAGATATGTCTTTGAATGTGTGTTTGAGTTTTTGGTCAGTCCTTGTGTATCTCAGATCTCTTACAGTGGGTCTCATTATAGGTACAGCAAAGCCTCCCTTCTGGGGGAAGCCTGTGTATGAGCTTGATGAACATAACCCAATCAACAACGGCTTCATCAACGAAGCCCTGATCGTTTGGATGAGGGAGGCAGCCTTCCCCAACTTCAAGAAGCTCTATGGGGTTTTACACCGAGCCCAAAAGCCCTTTATCAATGGTCTACCAGTGGGGAACTACAGCGTCGAGATTTCCTACAGTATCCTTTCACTGCTGAATTTTAGTCTGTTTTAAAAATGCTGCAACAAGCAGCAACCTTGAGATTCATTCTCACCAACATCATGGTGACCAAACGCTGACCTCCAGACTTAAAAAAAACCATAAGGTGACGTCACAGCGCCATAGTCGTTATTTATAGCCTATGAGTTGCACGTGTCCCATTGTGTATGTTTGTTTCCTTTGTCTTATCTCATGTTAAACACTTAAACACATGCATATAGACAGGGACTATTTTAAGCTCGTTTCCATTCGGCTCTTCTCTGTGATCACCTATTTTCAGCCTTGACCTCCACCTCTCTGCAGACTTCCCTGTGCAGTACTTCCGAGGCAGAAAGGAAGTGGTGCTGACCACGCTGACCTGGTTTGGAGGTCAGAACCATTTCCTGCCCATCGCTTACCTGGTAACCAGCAGCCTGATCTTCCTGATGGCTGTCGGTCTGACGGTGGTCTGGTGGAAATATGGAAAAGGTGGGAAGAACATGAAAGCATGAAGAGTAAGGATGTGGATGTAGATGATTAAAGAGCAGGATAGAAATAAGAATTAATTCAGTAAGATACCTCAGCAGAGGATGCTCCAAAAACAATGAGGAATAAGGTTTTAAAATTATTTCTCCTGTTAGCCAAATGACCCTGAAATATTAGCTTTTATAGCAATGATGCTCCTCTGAAATTTTTATGGGCTACTTTTTTAACCTGTTTGTACTTGATGAATTTTTACATGTTTAAATACACACCATTTTAGTCCTGCACTGCTCTTATGTGTTCATACAGCTGTATTTATTATTAATGTTGAATTAACAATCAGATTTTTGTCTCAGTTGAGTTTGTCGTCTTTTGTATCTCAAATAAGAAAACTCTTTGACGCTCCTTTTCAGAGGTTTAGAGAGTTGTTTCTGAACATGGACATTCCTCTCTCTCTCTCTCCTCATTATTGATCACTAACATTGTCACTGATTAAAAAAACTGGCATACTTCTTTGTAAACCACATCACACAGCATGCCACTGGGAACTTTTTATTCTCAGTGGTTTTGTAATGGTGGTCTGTTGATATCCTTAAGCCAGAAAAATCAACCAAAATGTTGACGTTTATCCTTAAAACTTTTAATATTTCTGAACCAAAATCGATTTTGATCTTTGGAGCAACTCTGCTATCCTCAGGGAAAATTAAACACGATTTTAGGAGCTGATACTTCATTGGGAAATGTGAGTTCTGCTTGATGTACTTGAAGTGTTGCTGGGAAATCTGAACTTAATTGAAGTCTGCATTTAATGTAGCCTAACGTGTCTGTAAGCTAAGTAAATAGACCTCAGCCACATGTCTAAGTCTCTGTAATGGCCTGTAACACTAAATACAGATGTAAATAACTTTCTTGATGACTTTTGCATTTTTTACATCCTGTATGAATAAATGTGCTGTGAAAAAACAAACTTTTAAAAGACAGCAGTAACTTCTTTTCTTTTAAAAACTCTTTATTTCTCTATATACAATCAGTGAGAGCCACATAAACACAATCCCTCTGTGAGCAGGGAGCACCAAAACTGTGAATAGAAGGCCTCCATTAATTGACCGTATTCAAACCATGACTGGCGGCACAGCTGTGTGAATAAAACCCTCCACCCAGGTGAGGTTGCTAATCTGTCGTGTTCTATGAAGCAGCTCGTTCCTTTTTTTTTCCTCCATCTGTAATCCTGCCGCAGACTGTTTGGTCAGATTAGTACCACAGGAGAGGAATGCAGTCTACTGGTGCTACAGACGACGACGACGATCCAATACATCCAACTACAACTAGACACTGTATCAAAAACCAGTCCAAAAAACAACAAACACACACATACACATACATACTTACAGATGTCGATGCACATAGATACACGGAGGAAACACTCAAATGCATAAAGACAGACCAAACACCCATTTAAACACGAGACAATCACCACGATGTACGAATAAAATAAAATCTACAAACATCAGGGAAACTTTGAAATCATCACCTGTAACAGATTCACCTTTTTAACTCTTTTCTCTGTACCTGTATGCTAGGAACTAAAAAAAGCCTTGTTTAAGACTGCTGACACGCTCACTTTAATGACACTGTTGGCACTATCGTGGCTCGGTTGTGGTTCAACATTGCATAAGCGCAGAAAAAGGCAACATTTGGTCTTGTGTATTTCAAGAAGTGTTTTGTTTTTTTTAGGAGTTTCCCTTAAAAAGTTCTTGAAACTGAACTTTTTAAATCAAAGATTGATCAAAAATGTCTCTTTATGGTGAGGTTTTCACAACAGTTCTACCCAAATGATCTGTTATGCCACGGCTGAGAAGAGCAGTGGGCTGTTTTTAATAAGAGTTTCTCCTTATCAGCAGGATGTGAATTAAAAATAAATAAAAGTAAATCATCTGAGAGCTCTAACAGGTTTGCAGTAATGGAATTTAAAGAACTATACACAATTTCAAGTCATGCTTTTTAAAGAAATAAAACAAAAACGTACCATTGGAAACTAGAAAGGTGGAATTCTTGAACTTAAGATGTGGGTTATTTCATGCAACATTTCGTTGATTCTATTAAAAAAGCAAACTCTGATTTATGAATCATAACGCACATTTAGCCAAGTCTGCTTCTCTTTGTAACAGAGTAGAAATTAAATCATGGAAATCACAGTTTCACAGAATGGAAAAAAAATAAAACTACTAAGAATCACAGAACAGGGACACAGTCTTTTCAAATAGTAGTCAGCGTTCTCCTTTTTATCCTCCCTCTGTTCATCCCTCCAGTCATCCTCGCCTTGTCTCCGCCTCTCACTCCTGGCACTAACACATTCATCGTTGTGGTTTCAGTGATAGGACTGTAATGGCACTACACAAGCAGATTGTGGCCATGCAGAAACATTAAGGCAATACAGACATCTCCAGATGAATCTAAAGCTAAGGTAGTGTTCGTTCAAGACTTAGGCCCCTCCTCTAAGGGCTCCCAGGTTCCCTCCCCCTCTTCCTCCGACATCCCTCCATGTCTGTTCATCAGTGAGGAGCAGATTAGGGCCGTTTGCATCCAGACTCTTCAGCTCTGTCCCGTTGGTTTATTCTGTGGCACCTGATAGGTCAATTCCTCAGAAGGCGTGGCCTGTCCAGTGGCGTTTTTGGGTGTATCGTAAGCCGACCTCCCTGAGTGGGTGCTGTCCGTCTGTGTGAGCAGGGAGGTGGCCCCAGCACTCATGAAGCTGGAGGGCTGGCTCAATGTGGAGTTCCCCGATGGGTGGCAGCCCATATCCACTATGATGGGTGTGGCATACTCGGATCCTGAAGCTGGAAGAGGTTCTGCGTAGGCGTGGTACACGTCCGGTGAGATCGGAGCATCGTACAGGTCGGGATCTGAGTAGCCCGGATCAGGCCCCTCATCTGGTTTAAACGTAGACCGGGCGCCTAATGTTGTTACACCACTGACCAGGGGCTGAGCGTACTCTGAAAAGAGAATGATATCACAGTCTTAAAAAACGAGTTTACAGGTTTGTCTGTAAAACTGAGCAAATCTGTGATAGCTGCACTGGATACAAACACTACAACTCCAGATCTGTGAGAGGATGTGAGCCTTCGAGTGTCAGTTATCAACCCTGTTTCTGATTTCAATGATATGATGTTCTGTCCCTGATGAAAACCCCAAACTCTTCACACTTTAGCCTCACGACTACTAACGTGCTCAACCATAGATGTAGTTGCAGCACTGTAAACTCCATAAGGTTAAAGGAATTGGTACCACACAGCTGTGGACCTGGTTGAACCTAGTGGGGATCGTCACCACCATGGGAGAACCTGGAACAAAGACTCCATCTTGTACAACAATGCAACCAACTTTCTTGATCTTACTGTAATCAAAAACAGACATCAAGTGTGTCTTTGGAGCTCCTCACTACAACATGACATACATAATTTAATTCATCTATCTTCATGAATATGTTTAGAGAGGACTAACACTGAAAGTATTCATGAGAAAAGGATGGACCGCTCCATCCACTTCATTTAATCAAATATTTCAGGAAACAGAAGTATAACTTGTTTAGTCCTTTCTGTTGTAAATATTGCAAATCTGTAAACACTTGCAACAGTTGCAGTGAGTCACCGACCTGAGAAAAGGGAGACTGCTGCAATAGCAGAGGAGGAGCAAAAGACACTGAGAGGTGTTTTGCAATAGTTTGACAGTTAATGTATTGTGAGTGTTTTTAAAACTCTATCCTCAAATTTTTTAACGCAGTAAGAGGTAAATTCTGCTGATTTTTGACTTAAAAGTTCACGTGTTTGTAATAGAAGAAACAAACTTCTTCAAACTCCTAAAACAAGTTGTAACACCGTTATCACCTGCAGGTTCAGCATGTAGTCTGGTTACAGCTCCTCTCCCTGTGAGCCTGCCCACTTCACTGCTGCTGTACCGGACCGTATCCTCCGTCTCCACCATCTTGGAGGGCAAAAGCTGCTTCATGCTTTTCCACCAGTCTGCAAAACAAACATAATGAGTTTTGAAGTGATTAACACGAGAAAATCAGAAAACGCATGCTGAGGGAACAGCCTGTGAAGTAGACAGTGTTTGTACCTGTGCGATCCCAGTGAGGAAGGTCATATGTCCCTTCAGAGCTCTTTTTCCTATGAAAGAAGAACAAAGTCGTGAAAGATGGCATTTTCAAAGGAGCTGAGATTATTTTTGAGAGATGAAGAGGATACACACCTGTTCCTCCAGTGCCAGGCACAACCCACAACGATGATGAGAGCAGTCAGAGCCATGACCAACACAGGGACGAGAACTGCTGCCAGCGCCACATCTAAAAGCAAAAAAGACGCCATTGGCCTCTGAACACCTCTTTGAAGGATCAAACAAACCTTTGCAAATCACAAATCGAACTCACCTTTGCTATTATGAGGAGGCATGGTCGTGTTTCTGATGTCTGGGGTGTGTGTGGTTTGGCCAAGGTGAGGTGGGCGCTTTGTTCCCCTTGAAGGTGGGGAATGATGGGGAGGGTTGAAAATCCTTGGATTTGGTACTGTCCTCCGCCTCTCTGTTAATAAAAAAAAATCAGATTCAGAAGGAGAAAGTTTAAGATCCTGATGAAACTTTCATTCTGTTTTCATCTCTAAATCAACCCCTTTCCCCTACCTGGTGGAATTTGGCAGCCGAGCAGCTCCAGCTTGAGCGCAATCCTCTGATGCCATGAGGTTGGATTTATCCTCACAAACCTGGCTTCAATCGGGGGAATGAAGTTATTCCTCACCTCATGCAGGTAGTTGATGTTGCCCTGGAAAATCTACCATAAAATAAGAATGCACTCAATCACTTTCGCCAGAGATTTAAGCCCAACAGTGGTAGTAGCTTAGAAGGAAAAAAATCAGCACAGATATTCTTGTTTCAGACTGTGAACAAATGCACTTTAAGCCATAAGCTGATTATTTTTTCAAACTTGGCAAGCTAATAACTTCTCTCCTCCACACAATCAGGGGCGGAGAGGATCCCAGCAGAGAGCAGCTCACAGACAGCAGTTCAGACTAACAACCAAGCCACTAAATCCATATCCATTCATTATTAATACCCCTGAGCACTGACTCGTCCACCACAGCACTTAACTCAAACCGCCGGCTTCCCTCATTTCCTGCCATAAGCATCTCTCAGTCAATACCAGTTGCCATGGAAACAGTCCAAGTATGTGTCCCTGTAGTCTTCTAAAGTGACATTTTTGTTCGTTTGCACTCATTTGAAGGGAAAGAAAACATCAAAGGTTGCGGTGCAACTCTTGGGCAAACAGGGTTTATTGATTTGGCGCTTGTGTTACCTTGTCTTGGGTAGAATTAGCCTCTCTGTAGATGTTCCACTGTTGACCGTCGTTACTGTGCTGGACCTGGTATGTTGAAACATAGTACTGGTACTCTCTTAGGGTAGAGCCAGTGGTGATAATGCCTGGGAGAACAGAAAGGATGTAGATAATGTACAGTTTAAAAACATTTCATGGTCTACAGCAATGCTACAAACTCAGTTATGCTGTCTCTAGGGATGACGCTAAATGCTAATGTCAGCATGCCGGCACACTCTAGAAACCTGCTGATGCAAGCGTACCGTAAACCATCTTCTTTTACCATGTAGCATGCCGCTGCTTAAACACTTGTGCCTGTTTCTCTGATGATCCCATTTAACAAAGTTTATCTTCAGACTTGAATATGTTTCTACTGCCACTCTCACCACAACCAAAGTTTTAGAGAGTTAATCATTTGTCAATATGATTCTTTCATCTGGGTACCATGAATGTGTGAAAAAATCCCTTTGACTCCATCCAGAGCTTGTTGAGTCTAGAACAAGTTGAGTTCACTTGAGGCTAACTCCCACAGCAAAGGGAACCGTATGACAATACTAGTTTTTCACAGCAGAATAAGGGCCTGTGTCCACTGATGGCATTTTTGCACTGGCAATCCACCCTAAATAATCAGTTTTATCTCCATATGAACTCTCAGTACTGCCATCACTGCTCTTGACAAAATCCAGACCAGATGCCCCTCTTCCTCCTGAGTAGATTAGTGACAGAGCAGTGACATTGACAAGCTTGGTAGTGTACTGAAAGTTGAACTATTTATATTTTAAAGCTCTATGAAGACAGCAACAACAATAAGCTGCTACAGAGGGTGTTTTTCATAAGACACAAAAGGCTGAATATGCTAAACTACATTGGTTCTGAATGCAGAACAGACCTTCTAGCCCCAAAAAATGCTGTTAGTGGACACAGGCCCTAAAACATGTTAACAGCCTAAATCAATTTTTTTTTTAAATGATTTTTTTCTTAGCTAACTTATTACTTTTAACATACAAATTCTGCGAGTGAGTTGAATTTTCATGACTCATTTTGACTTCATAAAAGGTTTGGAGTTATGCATTACTGGGGACATGACTGATTTGACAGACAGCTGAGTGTGTTATGACTGTTTGCCAAGCTGAAGACTATGACCTCAAATCCACCTCTTAGCCTGTTTCGAAAGTACCAAAAAGTTGGACTGAGTCAACTTTTCATTAAAAGACTGAAGAAACCAACCGGTGGCACTAAGACCATGTTTATACACTCAGTGGTCCAGACCAACGAGGGGTGAAGACTAACTGGACTAGACAAATTTAAGGTAAACCTTTCTATATATTCTCCTGTCCTGCTGTGTCATGCTGAACACCATTGTCCTCAAACTAACTGAGGACCAACTACACAGAGCATTCAGGTGGAGCAATGGCCTGAAAAGTCTGAAAAGGGGTGTTTATAGGGTGCAAGTCCTCATATGATGCCTGTAGTTATGTACCTGTGATTCTCTTCTCCCTCTTGAGGTCGACCTGCAGCCACTGCATTTGGTCATTCAGAGACGGTGCCCAGGGCCGCCTCTCTGTCTTTAGCCGAGCCCCCGATGGTGCCCACACACTTTGAAGACCGTTGATGTTGTTCCACTCCCACACTGAGGAGGCAGACAGCTGAGTGTCTGCAACACCACCAGTCTCTAATCCCAGGGTCCCATAGCAGCCTGCATGCACAAGGAGACCATTACCATCATAACCATCAGGTATAGGCACCGCAATATTTATGCTCATGTATTTAAAAAGGACAGATGCAGACAATATTAAGACATGCAGAAGACCTTTCCAAAAATCTGAAGGATTTGATTGTGCTTCTAAGACAAACACACTCACCGTTGGTCTTGAAGGTAAAAAGGCTGTTAGATAAAGTTCCTCTGAGGAGAAAAGCAAATATTTAGTTCATAAATATGTAAATATGTGGCCAACAAATAACATTTCTATTATCTGATATGCAGATTCTTTTGATTCACCGTTACAGAAGTAGATATATGAATGTAAAGCAAATACAAATCAGATTTAAGCAAGTGTATGGGATGCTGCTTTTACCCAGTGGACGTGACGTTGTTTGCCAGTGTGGCCTCATAGTGAGGGATGCCTTTACTGCTGACCACGCTGATCCTCCCTCCCACAGCGTTGGACACCACACCTGCATGGACCGCTGCCACACACAGAGGAGAAGACTGCAAGAGGGAGGAAAACAGGAAAGAAAGGATTGAAGTAATACTTTATATTATCTATAATAACGTGTGAAATCAATACACAGAGAAACAAAAAATGTAGATAGTATCATCAGAGTGAAACCAAACATGAAGTGGTGGGTATGTATGTATCAATGCTACTCTTTTGAACAGGGTGTATCATTAAAGGGATGTCTGGCATTATATAGATTACATATACTGTAAATTGTTTTATATCCTATCATACTATATTGTACCGGATCTTCAGTCACCCGGCAAGTTAGAGTCAGAGAGCCAATGAGCTGAAGTTGCCTCTGACCTGAGCCTGCAACAGTATCAGTTTCTTACCTCACAGCAATTGTATCATGGCAATGTTTATGAGAAAACTGAAAGTCAAACAACACAAATGGTCAGAGACTGAGGAAAGGCAAGGGTGTATCTCCATCAACTCTTATTTTATCATCCATTTTTAACGAGAATCAAATTTATGGTTTTTCCACATCACCAGGCCTAAACAGAGTTTTGAGCTGAGTTTTCCGACCACACTTATAAAAACTAAATTGAAATAAATTACATAAACACAGTTTTCCGATTAAATCACACATACTGTTGTGTGGAAGGAATCAAAACAGATCTTTGGTTCCTAAATGAGCTCTTGGAGAAGCTCACAGTCTTAAAAAAAAAGTGCCAAAATCGCACCCCTGGCACCATACCATTTGATACAATTGCAAAGTACAACAGTTTTCCAGCATAGGAGCCGGAACAGGAGGTGTCTTCTTCCACAGAGACCAAAGCAGTTAACCTTCAGACTGTGGCAGATAAAGCCTGATGAGTCAGCGTGATGTCACTTCTCTGCAGAGAGGATGCCGAGGGGCACTGTCGGTAATGATTCACTGCCGGCGGCATTCCTGTCCAAACCTGCTGCCACATCACTGACAAAAGGCACAAAACACAATTTACACTCAGCACACAGGCTCCCCCAGTGAACAGCTGGCCGAGTGAGGTGGAATTTTATTACTGGAAAAGACCCACACTGGAATTCACAGCTGAGGAGATTGTGGCGAAAAGCTCTGGAGACCCACAGAGTGACAAGCACATGTATTCACACAAAAACACACACACGCGCACGCACGGCGTTCAAATCCTGCCGCAAGTAATCAACACACTGCCTTGTGACTCTTAAATTTCCCAAAAACACACACCAGCACTTCCGAAAGAGCGCCACACCAAACCACTAACACAAAAACAAAGCGCTGCTCCAAACCACTGCACACTGCCTCCAACAGAGAAAACCACACTAAAACACCCTTAAATTCAAACACACACAAACACACATGAATATGCAATTATTGCGAATCGACATGTGAGAGTATTTTCTGTTATTAATTGGTGGGATGAAGAAATTCATGATCCAGCATGGAGCACAGAAAGACAGGCAGAAGATTATAAAACCTAAATTGAGCTGCAGGATCTGGTGTGGGTACATCCTGAGTGATTCAACCTGACTTATGTCTACACAATACGTTACAGCACAGTGACATGCTCATTAAACACACACGATACCACTTAAAGTTTGAAAATGAGGCTTGAAATAGTAAAACTTCACACAGGACATCAAAGCCGAGTCTCTGAAGCATCAACATGAGTCTTAAAGTGGTTTTAAATCTAGTTGAAAAACTGTCCGTCTAAGACTGCTCGCTCGGCTTTGACTGACATCTCTCTGGCTCTGATCAACTACAGCCCATGTGACAATTCATGTTGTGGAGCAACAGCTGTGTGTTTGTCATCCGGGTGTGAATCAGAGGACACACAGGCCCAGACATTTGACAAGTCACTGAATGGTGAATTTCTAAATGCTTGTTATACATTTGATAGTTAAGATTAGCAGCCAATATACACCAAAAGCAGACTTTACTCCTCCAAATGTTGGCTCTACAGCGTTTTCTGGAGTTGTATTTTCATATAACAAAACTCCCTATGGGGACATTCAACACTGAGGCCTGACAGCTATGAGAAAAATGTGCTTTTTTTTGTTTAATATTGAGATATGCAGAGGGATAAATCTAGAAGTATTAGAAAGTACATTTCAGCTCACAGCTTCTACTGTCATCTGCAATCACACATCCCAAACAACTGTTTTTAGGTTGTTTTTGTGGCGCAGCTGCACAGATAAACTACCAGGTTAGGGTCACATTAGGCTAAAAGCTTTTGCCTGTGTTGTTTATAGTGTGGAAGCTGAGTTGAGTCAACGTTTTCCATCATGGCGCCCCACATAGTAAGACTTCGAAACATCCCCCCAGAAATCAGTGGGTGACATGGCAGAGACTACATCCGTGCTTTATACAGTCTTGTGTTGAGTAAAATATAGTATCTATGCAGAGGCATACAGTGAAGGTTGTTTAGATCAAATCATTTTATTTACGATTATTTCAAACTTTTATTGCCGCGTGTGTTAGGAATGCTTGAACCGCATGAGGACAGTGAGGCAGCTCTGCTCAACACCAAAAACACATCAACAACCCAGCATTAACTCACAGCTGAAAACATTCAACTGCTGCCAACGCAAGTCCTGCCACTATTATTTTGATTTGTTTACAGGATTAATTCCCAACTGTGGTAATAACTTCACCATTTCCCAACACAGATGAAATGTATCTTACAGTGTTTTCTAATTCTGGTAGAAACATGTTCCTATTACCTTAAGCTACACAGAGTTGAGTATGTCAGATATGACAGTATCCAGAGAGAGGTTTATTGTGGTTTTAGGTTTCCAGACTTGAGCACATGCATGATGATTCACTTGCACGTACACAAGAAGGCATGCATATACATAAGTTGTTCCTCAAACTCCTCAATCACACCGACTCCCCCTCCAGCTTTTTGTCTCTACAGAACACAGCTCAGCTCAGCACCGTCTTGCAGCTGGACTGGATTAGAGGCTTATTATTTTCAGCCAAACTATTATCTCACCTCCTTTTCACCCTCTGACCCTGCCCCTCCTCTGTTCCTGTGGGGCACCTCACTCCCTGAAGCACACCCTGACGCTCCTCCCTGTCCTCCCCGTCAGCCAGCGACACCCCTCCCTCCTCCCGTCTCTCTGTCTCCCCTTTGCCTCAGCTAGCTTCAAGCTCTGAGCATGAGGTCATCAGCCAGAGACTCAGCGCCTATGATCTCAGGCACAGCAGGGGTGCTGTGAGGTCATCAGAGCAGGACTTAAATACCGCAGAGAGGGGGACCCATTTAAAAAAAAAAGGAGGAGGAGGAAAAATGAAACAGAGGATGTGCAGATTGGATGGACACGGCTGAGTGGAGGTGAAAAAAAACCAGGACAGTAGATTGTTGCCAAGGCAACACTCTGATTGATTGACTAATCAGATAACAAACTGCAACTAAACCATCTTTTGTTGCCGATATAAAGCAATATTCAGTTGACCTTACATCACTATTCATTGTTGTCACTTCGACACAATACTTTTGATGCCAATAAAAAACAAAACAGCTGAATGTACAAGAAAGGCTGCTGTTGCCAATGTGATAGGACACTTCAGTTGCCAAGAAAGTGCATAATAAGGTCTTTGCCTACATGATAAAATGCCTTTGTTGTCCATATTTAGTTATCAATACGATTTGATTCGTTCGTTGCCAATACCACACTTTGATGGAAATGGGAAATGCTTAAATGCTTTGTAAAAAAGTGAAGACTTTCAACCTGCACCCAATTCAGCTACAGACAAAGTCAATGGACACATACCAACATAATGGTATTTAAGAAAATTACAGTGAAGGCTTGCTTATTTACCACTGGGAGCAAATTTAACCAGAAATGTGTCATTCTGAAGGTGATGTGAAGGTGATATTCTGGCGTGAAATTAATTCAGGCTAAAACACACCGTAACTCAGAGGTAGACACCCCCTCGAGAGATGAGTGTTGCCGACTGCTTCTTGCTTCTATAGTTATACCGACTTTAGTAACGGCCACAGATAGCAATACACAGCAGTCTGAGGAGCCATAAACAGACCTTAAACAAAACGTCACTCTATAGCCACAAATAATGTTCAGAACAGCACCTAACTTCATCAACAGTACATATAGGGTCCCAGCCATAGTACTAGACACCAAACATCTTTTTAACTTTGCCTGATTTCTTTAGCAAAGAGACTAAACACAACTCACCTACTCTCTACCAGCAGCCACTTGTTTGTAGCGAGACCTCAGGCCAGTGCATTACGGACTACAGCGGGGTGACGCAGCTCAAGGAAGAACATTTATGATCATTTCTTTATTTCCTTGGAGTAATAATCACCTTATTTATCATTTTGCACTGCAGACGCAGTAGTTCTTCTGCCTTAGTGTCTCTGTCTGATTGCATTTCCATAAAGAGATGATCATAAATGTTTTTCCTTGAGATGCCTCACTGTAGTCTGAAATGGACTGGCCTGAGGTCTCGCTACAAACAAGCAGCTGCTGGAAGAGAGTAGGTGAGTTGTGTTTAGTCTCTTTGCTAAAGAAATCAGGCAAAGATAAAAAGATGTTTGGTGGCTAGGACCCTATATGTACTGTTGATGAAGTTAGATGCTGTTCTGAGTATTATTTGTGGCTATAGAGTGGTGTTTTGGTTGAGGTTTGTTTATGGCTTCTCAGACCGTTGTGTATTGCTATCATGCGGTCATTACAAAGGTTGGTATGACTAGAGAAGCAAGCAGTCGGCAACATTCATCTCTCAAGGGAGTGTCTAACTCGGTGTTGAGGTGTGAATTAATTTCACGCCGGAATATCCCTTTGAGATCAAAGAAACATGAGTAGCCAAATGGTTATGGTGTGAAGATGTCATGATGAACCTGACTATAAGATGCCGCTCTCATACTCATGTGTTCTGCAGATTCTCACCTCTCTGTAGCCATTTGGTACAGTTCCAGAAATCTCCTCTGTAGAAGTCAAGCAGCCAGCCGGACAGTATTTACTAAAAAGACAGAGGCACAAAAATAAACAATGAGTATCAGACGGGCTGATGCTGCACAAATACCCACACAAACAGACTCTGTTTACCTGAACTCTGCCTCAGGGAAATCAGTTCCTTTGTCCAGGCAGGTGATTAGATCTGCAGAAGGCAAACAAACAGAGTCAGTGCTGGTTCCTCTGCACACTCCTGAAAATCTGTCACCCTCTTTGTCTTCAAGTTCCCATTATTCTGAGGAAAGACAACCTGTTCCTGGTAATTCATGTTTTTCATTTTTGGCTGATAAAAGGGTTTTGGTGAAGTCTGAAAACTATGAGAGGCTGAATCTGTAAAAACTTGGGGTTTATCCTGTTCCGATCAACTTATATCTGACTCGATAAAGACCTGAATCCTGAAAAATTGGAAAAACTGCAGATTATCATTTCAGCTTTGATTCTTTTTTTTTTTTTAATTTCAAAGAACAGTTAGAAAAACGAACAATGACCCCACAATGAATAATTTTTATTACTTGTGGCAACACCATTCTCTGTGATGAATAATGATATTCATTGTTAGGTCAATAGAATTGTGAGATCGCCCAGTTTGAGGTTGAAGTTGACGTAATCGCTGATTTTAGGAGTGTTACAGTGAAAAGTTACACAGGAAGCTGCTGGCTGCCGGGAATTCTTCATAAATCCCGTGGTGGTGGTCAGTTCAGCTGAGTCTCTTGACCACATTATCAAAAATCCCATTTATCTGGAAAACCAGCCAGTGAGTCAAACTGACAAATACTCCCCGCAACCGCAAGTCACCATGGTGACTGATTTACTTAGCTGTGCAAACTGTCCACCCACGCTCATCCGCATCGTCAGTTACATGAAAAACACACAGCAGTGCTTCGGGGGGAATTAGTGAGCAGCGAGGTTCACCAACAGCCATGTTTGTTTCGCCGCATGCTTAGAGACGAGGTCACATCTTCCCTTCGTAATATCTGATGGACTCCTGAATCAGCTGACCACGTCTATACCATCATCAGCTGTATCAGTTTTACAGCTGTGATCTTCAAAGTTGCGTAAATCCTTCACCAGAGAGGGTCGGTCTTTTTGACTCATTTATTTTCAACGCCTCAGATCAGACTTGATTGACTCATTGGTTCTATTACTCTAGGGTATCTTTAGATTCTTGGTGTTTACACAGGGAAGACTCTTGATTTTAGCCAATTCTTCAACTATCTATAAGACTATGTAAACTGAGAGAAGTAATTTGGGAAATAATAAAAACTGATCATTATGTTCAGTCATTTATAAAGGACCTTAAAATCCTGACTGCATTTTTTTCCTTTGATTTGCTGCTTAATGTTGATATCATTGAAATTTTAATCCTTGAATTATTATTCTGCAGGTGAGAAACAGAAAATAAATATGATAGTCTAACCAGGGCTTCTATGTCACAACCTCACCACCATTCGTAGCTATTCTGAAAAATAATCAACTGTTCAGAGGTGGGCCAAGACACAATGCATTATGGGACACATTGTAGTTAGTGAATAAGCTAAACAGTGTCCTTCACATTATCATCATCATCATGTTTGTAAACACAGCAGAGAAGGTTTTATTCATGAACACAATCAGCTTAACGACACACAACATTAATTTTTCATGCTGTTGGGTCAAACATGTGCACAGCTATCCATGCCCAATACAAAGCACAACACATACCAAATGTAATAAAGTTTATAGACTATAAAAAGTATAGAAGTTGTCTTTTTGTTCACAAATCTCTTCCTGATTCCTACATTTTCGCCGTTTATTTAATATTCCTCCACATTCAAACTTTTCCTGTTGTGTGTCAAAGTCCGAGTAGAAGATGGCCTTTCACTAAAACAAACACCTGTTCATATGACATATCACCCATGAGCCGATGTGTCACAGGAGCGTCTATGTCGTTCTGATACTGAGTCAGAGAGATTCCTACATGTTAAATCTATCAGACATACCCGAGGAGGGAAATATACTGCTGTCTTGGCCACTTATATTTATCTTTTTAAAATGAGGCTGTAAAGCATTAAAGAAGACCCGTTATGTTGATTATTTTCATATGTTACAATCTTAAATGTCAAGACTGAACTGAATTTTGGAATATGAGATACATAAATGGTGGCATAATGTTGAACTTTTATTCCAGCTTTGTTTTGAGACCAACCGCAGCATGATTGTGTTACCCTATTGAGACTCTATTTAGTGACAAGCCCATCTGACAGCTCTAAAGTCCATTACACCACCTGCCTTCTTCCTCGGTTCTGCACTTTGCTGATTCAATATGTCTTGGAAAGTTGCAGGTATTTTCTCCTCTTAAAGACGTATGTTTTCAGGGCCGCAACAACCCCACTGTAGCCGTTTGTGCTCACCGCTTTACTGATGACTCCTTTGTAAACAAAGACCAGTACGAGCTGGATCAACACCCTAATCAATACTAAAGCCTGGGGCTGTTTTATGGACAAAGACCTTCCATTACGACTTTGAACCACAGGCTGTCAGTGACATTATCACAGCAGTTAATGTAACAACAGCAAACGTATGCGAACATGGCTAAATGGGGAGCTAAGTGAGTACTGATGGTTTTTTTAAGTCATAAATGTCAGGTTGTTTCGTGACTACTTAACTGTGTAACAAGAAACACCCACAATCTGTGTCTCACTTTTGTATCACTTATAGGTAAAGACTGAATGGGGCTAAATTAAGGGTGCCAGTTTAAGACAGAAAGTTCTATTTGAGCTGAGAATCATGCAAAAGATACAGGTGTCTGGACTGATACAATAAAAGGTGAAAGGGAGTCCTCTAATTCTGGCATCTCAAACTCTATAAAATCGTTTGATTTTCTTAGAGTATTAGGGATCAAAATTGATCAATCGATAATTAACACTACATAAGAAAAGCATAAGAGATGTACAACTATAATCCATCAGTGTAGTTTAATGTTTATCTCCTGCTACTAAAGCCTCAAAATGTTCTTAAACAATCTTTTGGCACTTAATAACAAAATAGTAACAGGATCCAACCTAGAAAGATTTGCACTTTTTATATTACCACTTCAAAGCACAATATTAGCACTCCTGTAAAATCTCACCTTCTATTTAATGCGATTGTCAACTTTTCAGTCCTAAAATCTGTTTTTTCCACCACCAGGCAGCCTCTTCCTTTTTTTAGTGACTATACCTGCTGACTCTACCTTGAACCCACTGGTTGTTGAAGTGACATGCACTGTAGTGTGATCTGACCTTGACTTTTGGGAAGCATGTCTAAACTGAGAGGAACATGCACACACTGTTTTAGGTAATTTGATATCGATTCAGAAGTTAGCAGCTTCTCACTGACAGGAACCGTTGCAATATAACCACAAAATATGATTACCTTCCACTTCTCTCAATGACCCTCACTTCCTCCTGATACTTAGATCCTGTTCCACAACTATGAATGCTTCACTTTTTCCACCATCATCCTTCTTGATGCCTCTCTGCTAATTTCCAAAACTTCCTTTCACAGATAAAGAGTCAGAATTTAAGGATAATAAACTCACTTGAAGTCCTCTTTCACTGAGAGACAAAGAAAAAGACTCAGAAATGATGGGCTTTGGGTTTAGGAGACAATGAATCTGCTCTAATAGCCATAAACCTCAGCTGGTGCCACCCGTCTGTATGCAGCAATGTGTGATAAAATGACCAATGTCCACTGACATGATGATCTTGCTCACTGCTGCAAGAATTTCAGATATGTGGCTGATCGGCGTCGGGCATTCACAGCAGAGCAGCTCCTTATCGGCTCTATGCCTTTAAGTGCACCCTCAAAAGAACACTGTAAAAGCTCTCCTAATTCCTCAAAAGCACAGGTAGTGAAAAACTGCGTAAATATTTAACTGTGCCCATCTTTACTGTGTTTAGCTGTAAAGCAACAAGAATGTATGGAGTGTCAAATGATGCAAATGCAAATACATAAACCAGAGTCTGCAGCAAATAAAACATGAAAAACATGCTGCAAAACATTAATTTAAGAACCCAACATGCTTTCAAAGAAAAGTGCAGCAAAAAAATTAGCAATCAAATCTTACAACTTATATTACCAGTGCAACAACAACAAAAAAGGTGCAGTTACTAAAACTTATATGTCCTTAAGTAATAAACATCCTAATAAACATCCTTCTGACCATTCAGTGTGTTTGAGCTCAACAGCCGCCACAGAGATCGTATATAATCTGTTTTGATTTCTCCAAGCATCTTGTGGTGATCCAGTGAAAAAGAAGAGAACGCTGGGGTCTTCTTACCTGTGTGCTCAGTGGTGGAATAAGACAGGTAGAATCCACGTCCTGTGTGGTGGCTCCCACTCATGAACTGGACGGTGACCTGGTTGCCAGTTGACTCAATCAGCTCTTGGACTTTCAGACCCAAGCCACAGTACTTCACTGTGAACGAGTGAGACAGACGAAAAAAAACGTTGAGACCACTTGAGTCATTGCAAACGACATACAAATATAAATGTATAGCTGCACATGGTTTACTCTGTGACTGAGTAACTTTTGTGTTCACTTGTGCTTTTCTTTGTTTATTTGTTTTTTGAAAAGGTAATTTCACTTTAACCCAATTACTTTTTGGGGAGTATTTTGGCATCAGTAAAAAAAACGATGTACAAAGCAAATGTATACTGGCTTTAAATCAACTCAATGACAGGATGTTGTCTACCACCTGACAAAAAAGTGAACCAACATAAAGAGAGGAGAAGAACAAACATGCTGATTCAGCTCAAATCCCATCATGAAAGACTTTGTTTACGTTGGAAATAAAGATACAACCCTTCCTGGTCGATGACTAATGAGACCAACACTGCTTTAACAACTCCACTTCCTCTTTCCAGCAACAGCAAGGTCTAGACATTAAATGGAGCCGACAAACTTACATCGGCCTCTATGAACAGCCAGCCGAGCTCTGTCCACAAGCTGCCTATGAAGTGCAGTTCTAACAAAAGAGGTCACCAACAGATGGTCCAACCCCTTACCACAATTAACCTTATATTTGGAAATTCTAGTTATGGATTGTTATCAATGTAAAGAGGAAGAAGTAAAAAAAGATAGAGGTGGTGTGACACAAACTGGCAGTCATGTTGGTTGTAATCAAAAATTCATTAATGAGGCTCTTCTGTATCCATTAGTCATATCAAACGTGACCATTTGCAAAGTATCAGTTGTGATTGGCCTGACATGAAACAGGCTGGCAGCAAATCTGTCCCAAATGGGATGAGAAGCATCTGCTGGAGCAAATAAAACATGAGCTCATAGATTTGTTTGGTTCTCAGGCTAGTGGGACAAAAGCTCCCCACGCCTCTTTCTGATAGCAGAAGAGCGTGGGAGGGTTTCTGAAGGGATTTAACCGTCCAGCATCATTTCAGAAAGAGATATTGTATTTCCTCTCCTAATCTATTTGAGTCTATATTTACTTGTCACTCACCAATCTCACTCCTCTCCGGTCCGATGCCGTTGTAAAGGCGGAGGTAGTTGACCTGGCAATCACCGTCTTCTATGTCTAGCTCGGCGAAGCGAAAATGGACCCTGCGGCCGTGGGGCACGCTGATCTCCCACTCGCACACCGTGTTGTTGGGGTATGTCCCCGGGTAACCCAGAGAGGACAGAGTCCCGCTGCTGGGGCCAAGCACACTGGGACCACAGCCATCACCTGAGGGACAAAGCAGACACAAACACAGGGTTACAGGAAAAGCAAAAAGGATGACCGTAATAAAGCACAGATGAGGTGGAAACAGGAAAGGAAAGCACAAAGATAGTTTTTATAAAGTCAAGATTTATGAGCAAAACTTCCCTGAAAGAGGGAAACACACTTTTGTAAGCCTTTCGTTTTACAATGTCTGCATATTTTTAAAGGGTCGGAGTTTGAGGTATTGTACGATGGTTTATATATCATTAACCAAAAACAGCGACCGTCTCCAACTAAAAAGCATTACTTTAACGAACAGTCATATCTTTTTAACTTTTGCCTCTCCACCTGTCAAGAATACACACTTTTTTTGTCTTTTACTGCATTAAACACCAGCATTTTGGAGGATTCTTGGCTCAGCCTGTCCAGTGTGATACTATTTTATGATACCTCTGCTAAAACACTCCCTGTTCTATTAACAAGAATATAAAAACTTCACAGCTGTCTCAAGATGCAAGTTTGCCTCACAGAGTATGATGCTACATTTCTGTAAAACAAGCAAACTAATTTAGACATATCAAGCGCCACACACAGGGTAAGATGTTCAGAATCTGCATGTGAAGATACAAAGATATAAAAGTAAAAAACACACAGGGTTGAGCATTTCTTCTTTTTGTTTGAAGTGATGTGTTCCTCTGACATAAACCTTTTCTTGAGCATACATGCTTGTTCTGGCACATCTCTAAATGTTACATCAGCCATATTAGTCATTTGGCACTCATAAAATGAGACCATTTGACGGGGAAATAAATCACAACATCATTAAGTTGTCTTTTGCATAACTTTGTTTTGGTTTGGAGGGTTTTTTTGACCTGTTTTTAAACAAGTACACAACAAGCATTTGCAATATGTAGATGGCCTGCACAGAAGCAGGCTATTTATATGTTACCTTGTGCTACATGTAACTGATGTTAATCATAGTACTGTAAATTCAACTCCAGTCATTATTAAGCTGCATTCTCAAAAAGGACACCTGATGCAAAACTAAAAATGACAAACTTCCTTTAATTGTCAGATATAAAATTGTAATCTGTTTCCTGATTTAGACTTCACCTGTGATCATGAACTGGATTTTAAGTCAGATAAAAGTATAAAATTAAAAAAGGCATTACTGTGTTTTACAGGCAAAACAAATAAGTGAAACGAACAATCTTAAACTGAACTTTTGTCGACTCATGGTTTTATAGTCCTATAAAAGTTTTGGAGAAAATTAGCAGGAAAAAACATGAACTCTAAAAAGGCAGCTTTCTGATTAAGCAGATAAATATCTCATATAAACTCATTTAAAAATCTGAAATTGTAATGGTATCAGATCTTCACAGGAGAGGTTAGTTTTGTCCTCCGAGCTGTCAGAAAGTAAAGATATTGTGTCTGTTGATGCTGTGTGCTCATGGCCCTGAGATAACACTCAACAGTCACGCTTCATGGTGCTAAGTGGATGTTCTGGGGTTATGTAAGAACCTCTCAGTGGACACTATCCAGATGAACAGGACAAAAACAAAAGCTGCAAGCTTCACTCTGACTCACAAATACTGAACAACTGCAAGGCACTCAGTGAGAGTTCAGGTTACCATCCTCATACTGCCCTTTGTACCAAAAAACTCAACACAAACCTCACTTCACTGGTTAGTTATCAGACCCAATGAGAGGTTTGGACATGACCCACAAGTTACCCAGAGATATTTCACCTGGATTTTCAGTCTATGACAAACTGTGTCCACGTGTTTACAGTCATACCCCCACTGCTACCCCACCCCCATCTCTGACTACCTGAGGTTGGTTGTAGCTACACCATAAAAACCCACTTTAAACCTACTTTGGGTTAAAATATGGTGTTGAGTGAACCAGCACTGAAATCATAACACTTGTCTTTGGTAAAGTAAAAGTAAGTTCACGGGAGCGTCGAGCTTTGGGATACCTGGAGCCAGGAACAAGGCCACTAGCTCCATAATGAGCTGTTTTTCTCGTTCACAGAAAACTTAAACCGGACTCCATTAACAAATCTGCCTATTTAAATGCAGCTGGCTTATCCTAAACGTAAATACGTGATACATAGTTTGTTATAGCTTCTGACATATGAATTTAGCCTACACGTTAATTCAGCGAGCAGCAGTTAAACAAAGCAGCAGCTATTCTTTCCCAATCTCAGTTTTTCAAGAACCGGTTTGCCTAGTTTTTCAACACCCAAAACACCATGACGGGCGGCGGCAAGCGGTGTAAACCGAGCGGTACTCCACGTACACACGGCCATGTAAGGTAGATTTTAACTTGGCAGAACAATATCAACATGCTTCATGCTTCTCTAACTTACAAACAACAGTGTTCACACTTTACAGAAAGCATGACCCGCATGTCGGCGCGGTTACGTTTGGCTCCCCCAGTTGTCACCGCAGCTGTGCGGCGGCACCACCAACCTTTCTGTGCTCGACAGCCCTCCTTGGTGAGGATGATGAGAATCGACAGGACGAGAACCCCAGCCCCTGTCGGTCCCCTGCCCACCATTACCGCTCTGCCCATAGCAGCCTGCAGTCTGAATGCATAATGCTCGCTTCTGGACCGGCTTCAACCTGTACCTAAAGAAAGTAAAAATGTCAAACTTAATCTTTAACTCCTCGAGAGCGAGTCTGCGTGAGGGGTTCCTCCTGTTCTTTAAGCGTTCACAGTCCAGTGGTTAGCGACACTCTCACTATGGAGGTAACTCTGCTCCTCACACACACATACACACACAAATACACATCCAAGCTGTGGAGCTACTTCCTCCACTGAGGCTCCTCCCCTTAATCTGGGCTCTGGGATATCCGAGTCCCCCAAGTGGTCTGAATGAACCCTCATTTACCAACAACCCTCTCAATAAAATCCTTTTGCTACCTTAGTGTTGACAAATTACGGTGGCCGAGAAACGCCACTGCTGCAAATAAAAAAAGAATGCAGAAAAAAAAAAAAAAGAAAGAAACTGAAGCCCGCTGCAAATAGAAAAAGAAATGGTGCAGATTAAAAAAAAAAGCCAAAATGGAAGTTAATGAAGTGAAAAAAAAGTGGCGATGCAAAAAAAAAAAAAAAAAAAAAAATTCTGCAAAGATAAAAGGATGCTAGTAAAAAAGCCACAATGAAAGTGATGATGCACCGGTGTTTTACAATCTGGGCACAGAAGACGAGCCAAAAAGTAAGTATTAAGGTTATTGTTTAATTTTGTTTCATGTGCTTTTCAATATGTCATCTGTCCGTGTTGCGCCTGAGTCAATATGAAGTTGATCTGAACCTAACACTACATCGGCATCCTCGGGTTCAACTTCATATCGACTCAGGCGCAACATGGACAGATGACATATTGAAAAGCACATGAAACAAAATTAAACAATAACCTTTCTACTTACTTCTTTGCTCGTCCTCTTTGCCGTCGTCTTTTGTGCCCGGATCGTAAAACACTGTTGCATCATCATTATTGGTCCCCGACAGCTCACTTTAAACATTTTTTTTAAGAATTAGAACAAATTCCCTTTTTCATTTGATATTTTTGTAGTGAAGGCATCTTCCACCAGCTGGCTGTCACACAGGTTATAAACAACTTGTATATTCTTCGTGAATATTTTTTCTCAGTAAGTGATGCGATGTAAAATGAAGCAAAGCTCAATACTTTCACCTAAAAATAACAGATCCACACTTGTTAAATGCTGGCTTTTTACTCACAAAAACTGTTTCTCCGGAACCACATTCACATATATGATCTGTTCAAGTCCTCAACAAAACATGTTTACAACCAAAAGATTATTATGGGTGTAACTTTCCAGTTACATCCCAAACCTCCTCTCCATAATATTTTTGTGTCACCATAAAATTACCCAAACAGAAATCCCCCTAAAGTCCCATTGGGAGCATAATTCCTGTAACAATTATGAACTGTATGTGAAAGGGGACCATGTGGAAATGTTCTGTCTTTCACCTAAATCTCCTCTTTGTGACATTTCATGTCACCATTAAATAACCAAAATGGAAAGTCCCCTCAAAGTCATAAGAGAAACAATATTAAATGGCCAACTTGGACTCATGCTCAAATTTTCTGATTGAGACCTCTAACAAACTTCATTGTATCATAAATATTCAGATTGTGTGCTGAATGTCCCGTTTGGAACTGCACTGTGTGACCACGTCACAGGGCGTTTTTAGGAACATCCAAATATTATGAAATGATTTGTCATGTTTGCCACTTATAAAATGTTTAAGGAAGGTTTTGAAAGCTCTCAGCAGTGAATTCAATACATTTTGACCTGTCTCTATTTAAATGAATGGTGAATTTCTTTAAGATCCTTTATTCATTTTTAAAGTTAACAATCAACTCATATAGCATCAAACCACAACAGTAGTTATCCTAAGAAACTTTTCAAAAGAGCTAGACCACACCCATTGTTTGATGACACATTCATTCTCCTACAATGACAGGTCACAGTATCTGCTGTGTTGAGAGATATACTTGAAATTCTTTCAGGGTGTTGAATCATAAAGCCGTGCTGAGAGTGAGCTGTTTCGGTTTCCATGGAAATATTTTTTCAAAATTGGATTGAAAACATAACATTTGAAAATTAAAACTTTAGATAATATTCATATGACAAGTGTTTCATTAAAAATGTCTAATTCTGGATCTGTTTTTATCCAGCACATATAACAGGAAAGAGTTAGTCTGTATGATGGGTTTCTTAAAGTTCCTCTAAGGGGTTTTTAACTGGCCTGTAACCACTTCAGGCTAAAGAAACAGTCTTTTTCACATTTTCAAACATAAGTATTCATACCCAGCACTGTAAAACAAAAACAATACAAACTAAAAGTTCCTTACAGTAGCTTTAAGTACACAGCCCACAATGTATTAATGTAAATTGAGGAATTATATTGATGCACAAATCTTAACTGTTCACTTCTTTAACTGCCATTTATATCTAATTTGTTGTAAATTAATAATCTTTATTGATACCTTTTGGCTTCAGTTTTCATATTTTCTTCTCTAATGACCCCCATGTTTTAGATACAGCACTATAAAATAAAGAATAACATAACAAAAGAACAGCCCATTCCATCACTAGGGTTTCAACCATACCTTTATACATTTGGTCACTGACTTATGTAATGACTTTCTGTTTTCCAAGAACTAAGCCATTCCATAAAACATTACAATCTGAGTGAGCTAATAAACATGTCGTCTTCTACCCTCCCACCCTCTATTATTCAATTTAAGTGTGTTCCTTCTTGCCTGCACTCCCAACACTGCTGCAGTCGAGTACTGAAATGTTGTGAGGACTGTTTAGAAGAAAGTTGATAATGGCTGATGAATGTCTATACAGCACGTATCTACACCAGATTTTCACACAGCTGGATTAACAAGGAGAAATATTCACATATTATTGTTCTATAGCTATAGTTCTCCTCTTGGCAAATAGTTTGGATGTGATGCAACTGTCAGAGTAACCAATAGTTACAAGAAGGCAACAAACACAGTTTTAGCCTGCAGCCAGTGAGTAATATATTGAGTGATTCAGAGTTTTTTATTCTGGATGGATGAGATGGTGTGTGTGTGCTTTTGTGTGTTGAGTGTGTCCGACTGTGTTTCTACATCTCATTGTGTGGACTCCAGGCTGATGTCCACGAGGGTGTAAGAGAGTGTAATGTTTAGAATAGCAGCCAGAAAGTCACTCATGCTGAAATTGTCCATTTCTACATTCTCTCCCACACACACACACCCTTTGCATCAGTTTTTCTGTTTCACATTCCCTTTCTGTGTGTCCTTTTTAAAAACATATTTGCACGACTGAAGCTGGAATATATTAACAGTGGTAAACTCTTGAGCATTCTTACAAATTCAATTTAAAGTCCAAAACACATGACATCCTTTTTTTTTTCATTAGATTGCCAATCTAAATATGTTCTGGTACACTTCTGTGAATATTTCTGCTCTCATGAGTACAGGTCACGTTTTCTAGACTATTGTTTTACTTCCTCCTGGAGAAGCTGATGTTGTAAGTGTCAGTGGTGATATGAATTTCTATCTCTCCCTCAAAATCCTCAAAATCTACAACCCCAATTCCAAAGGAGTTAGGATGCTGTGTGAAGTGTACAAAGTGATTATTTGCAAATCCAATCTGTTTTTGAAAACAATGCAGGTACACCTTATCAAATGCTGAAACCGAAAAATATTATTATTTCATGAATAATATTCACTCATTTAAAATTTGAGGCTAGCAATATGGTTGCAGCTCTTCATCTTTTTACAAGACTGTGTCAACATAACAGAGGAGACCAGTTTTTGGAGTTTAGAGTTTTAGAGTTGTCCCATTGTTGCCTGGTATGGTTGTTCAGCTGCTGAAACTAAAACTGTATCATGTGAAGAGGAAACTATATGTAAACATAATATACTGTGGTCTGCTGAATCTTAAATCAACATAATTTTTGACAATCATGGATGCTGTGTCCTTCGCTGTAGTTAGGAGAGAGAGACCACCAAGCTTATTATTGAAGCACAGTTCAAAAGCTGAGATCCCTCATAGGATGGGGATGTGTATATTCATATGGGTATCTTACATATCTGGGAAGGCACCGTTAATGCTGAGCAACACATACAGGTCTTGTCACAACATCTGCTGCCATCTAGACAATGCCTTTTTCAGAGACGACCTACATATTTCAGCAAGACAATGGCAAACCACAGTCTATAAGCATAACAACAGCACGGCTCTGTAGTAGACAAGCTTGCCTGCAGCCTCAACTTGTCACCTGCTGAAACATTCATGACCTGTTAAGCAGCATATTTTTCATAAAACAATAACATTTCATTTCCAAAATTTGCTACAGTATTCAATAAAGTCTGGATAAGGATAATTTTGAAACTTTGAAAATGGGGTTTTATCATTTTTTACAGGGTTATAACTTTTTGAGAATTAAGGTTGGACAAAACTTGGACAAAGTTTTCAAGCAAGTTTTAGAGCAAGGTTCAAATAAAGTTCAATGTATGTTTGTTTTTTTCTAAAATATAACACTAGTTTTAGATCTGAGACAATTCTTTGGAAAAACTTAAAAAAGCTAGAGGTATCAAACTGGTGTAGGATAAATCTTTTAGCGCAAAAATGTGAATTTTACCTCTAAAACAGCTCAGTTTTTCCTCTTATTTCCCCCCATCCAGGTCAAAAGTTCATCTAGGGTTTTTATGCACATGTACCCACCAACTTAATGAGAAAACCACACTGGTCATTGGGCCACTGTGTTATGTTTTGTCATAATGTGCAATATGTTATATCAGACATTTAAAGAAGTAAGAATGAAATGATCAGTCTAAACACGTGTGATCTCCTCCAAAGTTGACTCTATAGTAGGGATTCCTCAGTTTTTAGCTGACTTCTTCGTTCCTCATTTAAACACCATTATCATAATCTACAGTGTTTTCTTGTGACTTAAATACTGATATTCAAACCTATTGATTTTATAACTCTGTTTAAGGGACAGGTTTTAAAGGCCATGTTGCTCTGTTACAGTGAGGACCTCTGCTGGAAAGTTGCATACGTGGTGAGAAAAGGAGACCAGTCCACAGCCAAAGACCTACCTTACTAGACTGTGCCACTTGGTGGTCAGAGAGTATTATAACAAGCAACACACTTGCTCCTATGCTGTATAGCAGATGTGAAACTCCTCCATTGTCTCATTTTTATGCCTTCATTTTATAATATGTCAACTTTTTAGTGTAAATCCAATTTT